TCATCATTGTCAGGCGATACGAGCAGAGAAAGATGAAGCCGTAAGCACGGGTTGTATATTTCCCCTCGGCCTTCACTCTCTCTCTCTCTCTCTCGCTCTCTCTCGCTCTCCTTCCAGTCGACTCGAAAAGCTATCAAAGCTCGGAAATCCGACAGCGATGCGTTCATTACCGAATGGGAGGCTCGTAAATTTGTGTTCCATTTCACAAGCTAACTCACCTCTTCCCTTCCCCTTCCTTCTTCCCCTTCCCCCTTTCCCCGGGACCCTCTCAATCGCGCAGCGTTCGGACGGTTATGCGCGCGATTTATAAAGGGTGGCCGCGTGTACTTCTTCTTCCTCTTCTTCTTTTCTCAATTCATACATTTCCCTCATTTTTCCCATTCCTCTCTGCGTTGAAGAGCATCATTCCCGGCATCATTAGCGCGAGCGCGAAGTTGCCGCACGTTTCGCGCGCATCTTTCTTTCTTATCTCATCACCGCGGCTCCGCGGCTCGCATTTTTTGCGCCCAGTTTATTTATTTTTACCGCGTAGTGTTGATGGCTACTTGTTTATTAAAAACGCATCTTCTTTGCAAACTCCGGCGCGCCGCCGGTGCCGCGGGGCCTCCGCCTCGCCTTGCCTCGTCTATTGCCTTGCCGCTAGCGCGCTAGCCAAACACGAATATGCAAGCAGCAGAGGCAGCGGTGGGCAGCGGCCAGTGGACACCCGTCCGCGCATCGGCCGCCCCGCCCAGCCGTGCCACGCCACGTCGTTCCGGTCGCGATGACCGCTTCGCCGCGCCCCGCCGCGCCCCGCCCCGCCCCGCCCCGCCGCGCCCCGCCCCGCCCCGCCGCGCCCCGCCCCGCCCCGCCCCACCGCGCCCCGCCCCGCCCCGCCCCCGCCCCGCGGCGCCACCACAGCAGTGCCATCGCGCGACCCGCCCCGCCGCGCAAAGTTGTGAGACGTGTTATTTTGTCAGTCCGCCACTTCCCAGCCACTTTACAAGTCCATAAAGATGGACAAAGTCGGCGACTGTGTTGTTGTTGTTACTGCTGCTGATTTGATGACGGCTGGGGCAGGACCCTATAGCGACGTATCCGGGGGAGGGGTGAGGTGGCGGCAGGCTCGCGGCAGGCTCGCGGCGAGGCTCTCGTCGGGGTGGTTGACCCGAGGTGCACCCTTGATGGTCCTCACGGTGGCGGTCAGCTCGCACTTTGCAAACTGGAGCCGCCGAGCTCGCCGGGCGTACGCTGGAAGTACAGCTAGAGCACTGTACACTGTATATCCGCGGCGGCATGCCCAACCCGGCTTCGCTGTCCTCCATGAGCTGACATTGCAATTACCACTTGCCAGTTCACCTATAAGGTGGCGTCCGGCCTGGGCCCGAAAGGGGCTCGCGGCTCGCGACCAAAAGTGCGCACAGTAGTCCGCCAGAACGTACTTTCCATGCGTGAACGCACGTCGCGGCGGCCAAGGCGGCTGGCTCCAAAATGGACATGTCATTAGTTAGAAAGGCACTAAGGCTGTCCCGGACGGAGCAAATGAAAATGAGCGCGACCCGACCGAACGGACCGAACTGCCGACGTCAAGTCGTGGTCGAGTTGTTTTCCTTCGCAGTGTACTTTCTTCACAGACAGAGCGCTGCGGTGCGCGGCTGCGCGGTTCGCGGCGGTGGCCCGCTGCCGGACCTGCCCCTAGCCCCTAGCCCCTGCCCCTGCCCGCCCCGTCCGACTGTTTGGCATAACTTTGATCCCGTGTCCGATTAGCTCGTTATTAGGTTGTTCCTCTGCCGCCCCGCCGGCCCTGCCCCTGCCCCTGCCCGGGCAGTCCTCGCCGGAGTCCGACTCGCCGGAGTCCAGCGGAGTCCCTGCCGGTCGGGTCGTTGTCGTTGGGTCTGACGGCATCTTTTTGTCTCAGGGCGCGACGCGACGCGCTCCCGGACTGGCCGGCCCGCCCTGGTGGTGGTCGTGGAGGCCGAGGGGGCTACGGGGGTCCCGCGCACCATTATTCCCCCATCTCTGGCCCTATCTGGCGAGCAGCAGCGAGCAGGTGATGATCTGGTCGGGCCAACAACGGCCGCACGAGCCGAGCCCCCCCCCCCCCCCACACACACACACACACGGCAGGCAGGTGCCATAGCGTTACACTGCGATGCAGGTGCGCGTGCTTCGCGCGCGACACGTCGCGGCGACCACTACAGTGTATCGGGCTGGCGGCGCTGGCGGGGGAACGCAGAACGGCAGAATGCGCCCCGGCGGACACCGTAACACTGTAGCACTGTAACGCAGTTTAAGAGCCATGAGGAAGAAACGAGATCTCAAGTGTGGAAGCCTGCCAGGCATTTGTCGCTGCACGCACACCGCGCAGGCCGGGCCTTGGGCCGGGCGCCGCGCTCTCACACACACTCACGCACTGAGCGGGCTTGACCGCACGCCACACGCACGCACGCACCCAGTCACACATAATTGAACGATTCTAGGAAATCGCGTGAATGGAGAAGGTGGCGTGTACTGGGGCGGGGCGGGGCGCGGCACGGCGGGGCGCACCACAGGCCCTGACAGGTTGACGGCGGCAAGTCGCGTGTGCATCGCATCCCCCAGTGCAACCCGATGAGGAAGCGAATGTCGGGAGTCCTCGCGAATCGACAATGGACGCTCTTTCATCCGGTGCGCGGAAAGACTTCGGGAAGTGGCGTCGTCGGTCGGCGGCAGTGGCAGTGCAGTTGGCAGTGCGGTGGCAGTCCCCGCCCGGGCGTTGTGCCGCCTATGGCGGCTATGATTACGGCGAAGGAAAGAGGCGAGGAGCCAGCCCCGCCAGCCCAGCCAGCGCGCCGCCAGCCTCGACGCGCAAGCGGGCTCATTCCGTCGCTCCGTCTCTCTCGCACCCCTACGGGACGCCCCACGAGTGCGAGAGAGACGGAGAGAGGCCTGCCGCCCCGAGTCCCCGAGTCCGAGGGAGGAGTAGAGGTGCAAAGGTGGCTCACCTCTGCCACCGTCTTGTGGCTTCGCTTCGCCTGCTTCGCGACCGCTCTTTGCCGCTGCCTCGGTCTGGCTCGGCCGCTCTGCTAAAGTGCCCCCTCCCCCTTTACCGGCACACCTGCATGGACACCTGGGCTCACACACGTGGCTGACCGCAGCGTGTCACCTCAACGCCCCGCTGACCCTCGTCGCCGACCCCGGTGTGCGCTGGTTCGGTAAAGAAACAGAACAGCTCCGTCGCCCTTTCCCTCCCTCGCGAGAGCGAGAGAGACAGCACTGTTCGGAATCTGCCGACAGTGTCGCGATTCGCGGCGCCGCTGCGGCCATAACACGCGCGGTGTATTGTCCGAGTGCTGGGCGCTGGGCTGTGGCGGCGCGTGGCGGCGCATCATCTTCACCCAGTGTAAGGTTGCAGGCCACCGGTCAGGCCACCCTGCGGTGGTGCCCTTTGCCCTTTGCGCGCCCCTACCGTTGCCCCGCCCCGCCCCGCCCCGCCTCGCCCCGCTTTGCCGCCTGCTTATGAAGCCTCACGGCCTCCCGAGTAAACAAACGAAACACAGTCACGCCCTGCCCGGCCCTGCCCGGCCCTGCCATGCCGGGCCGCCCTAGAGGCTTCACTTAGCGCAGCGCCGGCCGGCATGGAACGCAACGCGGACGGGTACCATGGAAAAACAGGGAGATGATGTGTGTGTGTGCGTGGACGTGCCACTGAAGTCCGTGGGAACCAAGGCCCCTCCCTCCCCCTCCAGAGTCGGCCGGGCCGCCGGGCCGGGCTGGCCACTACTACTGCCCCGCCCTGCCCGCCGGCTACCTGCGGCTAGGGAGCCTCTGGGGCATTCTGGAGTACCTCCATGAGTACCTCCGGGCCGGGACCCCGAGGTACCTCCCAGCTAGGCGGGAACCCGTCACGAGACATCGTAGTAGCTACTCTGCCGAGTGTGTCTACATTTTCATACTTCTTAGCAGGCTCGGACTGGCCCCCAAAAGGCCCCGGCAGATAAGACCGCAAAAGGCCCCCGATCATCACTGTTTTTACCCTTCATGACCAACTTTGTGAGGCTGCCGCTCCCACACAAGTTGCGGTCAATAGCCTTCCCGTACAGGACATGAAAGACTAGGGTCTTAAGAATTCTAGAGCGTCGAGGGAGGCCTTTTACGGCTACTAGATTGGACACAGTGGACACCCAAAGTCAGCAAAATCAGCAAATTTCCGATATTCGACTACTTTTTGACCAACTTGGTCGGAAAATCATTGCGGTCAAAGGCAAAATCGTTGTGGTCAACGTCTTCCCTATACAGGGCATGAAAGAGTAGGGTCTTGAGAATACTAGGACGTTGAGGGAGGCCTTTTACGGCAACTAGATTGGACACAGTGGCCGCCCAAAGTCAGCAAAATTAGCAAATTTCCGAAATTCGACCACTTTTTGACCAACTTTGGTCCCTAAATCGTTGCGGTCAAAGGCAAAATCGTTGTGGTCAACGTCTTCCCTATACAGGGCATGAAAGAGTAGGGTCTTGAGAATACTAGGACGTTGAGGGAGGCCTTTTACGGCAACTAGATTGGACACAGTGGCCGCCCAAAGTCAGCAAAATTAGCAAATTTCCGAGATTCGACCACTTTTTGACCAACTTTGGTCCCTAAATCGTTGCGGTCAAAGGCAAAATCGTTGTGGTCAACGTCTTCCCGATACAGGGCATGAAAGAGTAGGGTCTTGAGAATACTAGGACGTCGAGGGAGGCCGTTGGCCGCTACTAGATCGAAGCAGTGGCCACTCAAATTCAGCGAAAACGGCTACTTTCGGAGATTCAATCACTCTTTGACCAACTTCGTGACGTTACAGGTCACAAATCCAAAGGCCCCGGCAGATTTTTCTGCCTGTCTGCCCTGGCCAGTCCGAGCCTGCTTCTTAGAGCGAACGGACGCAAATATTAAAACTAAATTCTGGCAGCTTTTGACAGGACTTGAACCACCGACCTCGAGAGCTGCTCTTCTTACCGCAAACCGCTACGCTACTGACACCCTGCTGTCCTTGTGCTTGCAGTGAACGTGGTGGAGGCGCTGCAGGAGTTCTGGCAGATGAAGCAGGCCCGAGGGGCGGACCTGCGCAACGGCGCGCTGGTCATCTACGAGTCCGTGCCGTCCTCCTGCCAGCCCTACGTGTGCTACGTCACCCTGCCCGGCGGCTCCTGCTTCGGTAGCTTCCAGGTACTAACTGCCTGGGTTCGATCCCGGCCACGGACCAACCTTTTTTTTGTGTGCTGTTCCTCTGTTCTCGCGGCATACACACATTGCTACATGTTATAGTAGCTTCAGGTCCCGTTATTGAATGCACTCTCCGCGGCGCTCCGCGGGGACGAGGACGAGGCCTGGACTGGCCATCAGGCCGGCTGGGCAATTTACCGGAGTAATAACTTTTATGGGAATGCAAGCTTGCCGGACCTTGCCGGGGCGCGGGCCGCGCGGGCCGGCCAACAGCCCTGTCCAGTAGACACCCAGACATCCGACGGCTGAGGTTCGAACGCACGCCCAAGCCAAGCCGCCTCGTTCCGAACAGGACTTCCTGTCTCTCTCGCACCAGTGGGGCGCCCCGAAGGGTCCCGAAGGGGTGCGAGAGAGACGGAGTGGCGACGCGCTGCCGCCGCGTGGCCGCGCCGCCATTTCTCACAGGTTTGCGTGTTTTGTCGACAGAACTGCCCGACCAAGGCCGAGGCGAGGCGCAGCGCCGCCAAGATAGCCCTAATGAACTCGGTCTTCAACGAGCACCCCTCCAGACGCATCTCGGACGACTTCATCGAGAAGGCCGTGACCGAGGCCAGGGCCTCGTTCAAGGTGAGTGTGCAGCTTGCGGTGTAGCGCGGCACAGCGCCGGGGCCGCCGACAAGGAGTGGTGACGGAAGTTTGATGTTGTTAGGTTAGGTTACGTTAAGTTTCCCTTCCGAGCTCCGACTGAACATTGACTGAGCCATCCCAGCGTTTCCGCTCGCAGTGTCCCTGCCAGCCCTGCCAGCCCGGCCGGCGGCCCCGCAGCTGGGCTGGCTGGCTGGGACTAAAGACTGCTCCACTTGCCTCGCTTCGACAAGTTTGTGTGTGAGACTCCGGCCAAAGTCCGGCTGTGTTAATGAAGCTCCCTCCCTGTTGGCTTCAATTGCACCTCTCTGGCCGCTTTGCCCGGCTCTGCCTGGCTCTGCCGCTCTAGCCTCTAGCCGGGGCACTGGCCAGCGGTCGGCCAGCGGTCCGGTCTGCGACGAGTGTGGACTAGTGACGCCCAGCGCGGCCAAGCGGCCAAGCCAAGCGGGCGGAGCATGGCGAAGCAAGGCGAAGCAAGGCGAAGCAAGGCCTCCGTCCGGGGCGTCCCGTGTGCCGTTGGAACCCGTTCCGCGTCAGCTCTTCATGACCCCTTCCACCTCCACTCCGCCCCGCGCCCCGCCGGTCTGGAATTATGCCTCATAGCGTAATAGGCGCGTTGTCTTTGGAATGTTTTCGTTGTAAAGTTGGCAGCGTTGGCAGCCAGCGCGGCGGCGCTGGGCGGCGCCCCCCACGCCGAACACGCCTCCACTACACCACTAGAGACCCGCCGGCGGCAACGACCGCCTTCATCTCAGTCGCCAAAATACGTCGGCTTTGCGCATCCTGTTGTTTCCACGGTGATCGCCTCGGGCGGTTTGTCACGTCAGCACACCGTTCTTCGAACGACTGTCCACAACTTCAGGCAAATCCCAAAATAAGATGATTTCGCAATAAAAGTTGCCAGGTGCGGGGGACATAAACCATTCGATACACTGAGACCTGCGTTTGAAAGTTGCGATTTGTGTGTGTGTGTGTGTGTGTGTTGCCCTTTGCCTTCTTTGGTAACACTGCCGTCGACGGGAGCGCACCACCACACCACAGTCTTGAACAACTAAGTCAGAGCGGCGACTTCCCTCCCCGCGAACGCCGATGCTCTTTTGTTCCTGCGGGGATGACCCCGGCGGGTCGCAACAGCAGCAAGTGCGCGCGGCGCGGCTCTGCCAGCCGGCCGGCTGATTCCGAGCGGTGCTTCGCCGCTCGTTCTCCCTCGCGCCACCGCGCCACTACGCGCCACTACGCGCCACGCCCCGTGGGTGCGAGAGAGGCAGAGCCGAGTCAGCCGCACTGGCGTTGCCGTGGCGTCGCCGGCGTGCCCAAGTGGCCGAGTCGTAAACATGTAGAGGCCTGGTATTGTTCTGTAAGTGGCCGGCGTGTTGGCGGCCCTGCGACCTACGCCGTGCAAAGCCGTGCCACGCCGTGCTGCGCTGTACGCAGTGCGCCAGCTCTAGAGCGTCTCGAACGTGGCCGCCGCGCCGCCGCCTCGCAGCTGGCCCTCGCCTCGCACCGCGCCATGCTCCCGGGGTCTCGGCCTGGAGCGCCGTGCTGGGAGGCAACCCGGAGGCACGCCTGCCGGCAGGTTGCCTACCCGAGTTGACTTGTCGACCTGACTGGAGTCCTGACTGGCCCCTCTCTTTGTCCGCAGGGCGGGCAGGGCGACCCCCTGGAGGCCGACAACCCCAACACGGGCATCGGCGCCTTCCGCTTCATGCTGGAGAGCAACAAGGGCCGCACCATGCTGGAGTTCCAGGAGCTCATGACCGTGTTCCAGCTGCTGCACTGGAACGGCTCCCTGAAGGCGATGCGGGAGCGGCAGTGCAGTCGGCAGGAGGTGGTGGCACACTACTCCAACCGGTAAGTGTGGATCTCGACCGATCTAGATAGTATCTAAATCTTAGAGTGAAATCTTTGTTACCTGCTCAGTTTCTGCTAGAGTCTGAAAATTATTTCAAATCAGGAGTCTGTGTTCCAGGGCCCTGGACGACGACATGCGGTCCCAGATGGCGCTGGACTGGATCGCCCGCGAGCAGGAGCAGACGGGCGCGCTGGGCCGCGAGCTGGGCCTGGCGGAGCGGGAGCTGGAGGCCGCGCGCCTGGCGGGCCGGGAGCTGCGCTTCCCCAAGGAGAAGAAGGACATCCTCATGCTGGCGCACACGCAGCTGAGCGGCTCGCTGTCCAGCTAGTCGCCGACGACGACGACGACGACGAGCTCCCAGCGCCGCGCCCGCCGTCCCCGAGGGGGCCGCGACCCGGCAGCAAGGACCCTGCGCTCATTCTACTTTGGCTGTGTTATTTCTCCGCTCATGTCACTCAATCTGTACAGCGTATTTAATTTTTTTGCTGTTGATTTAATATTTATCTTAATGTATAGTAAGCTTGCCAGTGATCTTCCACTAGTGATATGTTGATGGTGCGTCCTCCCGCCACCTCTGAGTCGCACCCCGTCGCCGAGTCTCGGAAAGAGGACCGCGCGTGGGCGACGGCATGGCGACGGCGTGGCGACGGGCGGGAGGGGCGTCGCAGGGAAGTTCTGACAGAGCTCAACGGTCTTGCCGCGAAAAGGGAGCTTTTCACGAGATTCGCAGGCTTTGCAGGCTTTGCAAACTTTGTCGGGGAAGTGGCCGTATTGCTGTGTTGCACACCTAACCCGTGCCAACATTAGAAATGTGATAGGTCTTCATGTTTGCTGCATGTTTGACTATGTAGTCTATATTTTACTGTGTACGTATGTACAGAAATGTACTGTAATTTTGTGAAGTCTCGCTTTAGAGGAATAGAATAACTTGTCATGCTTTTACACGGCGCATTTTCGCCGAATCTTGATATTTATTCAAACGGCAATGCTGGGACCCCCAGACTGCGACGTTATTAAGTCGGAACGCCATGTTATGTTAGTTTCTCATGATGCCATTATTGTATTGTTTTCCTTCGATGACACGACACCGACGTCCGTCATGTCGAGAAAGTGTGTAACTTTTGCTGCCGTCACCAAGTGCCATGGGAAAGGGAAGAAAAAGGCATGCCATGAAAAACGCCGTCCTCACCTCGATGGACCTGTTTCCTTTTTAATCGGTCGCCATTGTTCTTTGTGCCTTAAACCTGATGGGTAAAAAAACAAAACAAACGCTCACTGCATTTGGAAAAAGGAAAGTCCCCAAGGGGCCAAATATGTTGTAAATAAATTTTATTATTCGTGTTAATGATCTCATGAATAACACTGTCACTGTTATCTTTAATATATTTGCGAAAATGTGCCCGTGTATTGCTTCTTGTTTCAAATATAATATAAAATTGTCAATCACGTGTGTGTCTCTTTTCTTCTCTTCCCTGCCGTCCCTGACGATGCGCTTCGCTCTGCAAAGCGGAGCCTCCGCCACACTGCAACGTTGGACTGCATTACCTCTGCAACTTTTTTCCCCCGCGGGTTGGCAGCCCTGAGAGTCGGCTCCCAGCTTCCCTGCTTGGTTCCCCGTCGGGTAGTCATTGCATGGGAAACCTCGGGCTCAACTCGTGGCCGGGCCGTGGACGCCGTGGACGGACGAGGCACGGCAAAGTAGAGCACAGCAAAAAGTCAAAAAGGGCCTCTCCTTTCCATCCTCTCCACGCTCCCTGTTCTCAGAAGCGACCCAGGCAGGGAGCAGAAAAAAAAGGAGCAGACGACAGTCAAGACCGGAACGGACAGCGACAGCAGGGCGGCAGGGCGCTCATGAAAAATTTATGGTATGTTTTGATGACAAACGAAGAACGAAGGCAGAAAGCAGGCAGCCGCCAAATCAGCAGCGCGTTCAGCGAATCGGGTGCAGCGGCGGCAGCGGCTCAACACCGTTACCATGCACTGCTTGACGAGCACGCCGAAGGACGCGTCCGCGCGGGGCGGCGAGCATGGCGGCGAGCATGGCGGCGAGCTGGTCGCCACCAAAGCAGGAGCCGAGGCGAGTTTGAGGAACGCGCGGCTACTGCCAAGCGAACCAACGCACCACGGCGCGGGCCGCGGGGAAGGCCGGGCGTCGCTTGGCGGCGAGCTCGGCGGCCCGCGGGAGGGAACCGAGGGAACTGAGACGACGGCCAGGGCTGCGCCGGGCAGCGCGCTGCAGTCTTTGCGGAGCGGCTGGAGGAAACCCTGGTGGCGCCTGCGTGGGCCGTGCCGGCCGTGACGGTATAATCTGGAAAGTACCGGCCGCTAGACGATCGTTCACATTCTCGCGCCCGAGCGACCCGCGCGACCCGAGAGTGCAGGATGACGACTTACGTCCGTCTCCACCGCGACGAGGCGACGAGGCGACGCGGCACCGCGGCGGCGTGCGCTAGCGTGCGCCAGTGAATGGCGGCGCGGGTTGGTATTCCCCCCGCTCTGTCTCTCTCGCACTGCTGGGGCGTGCCGTGGGGGTGCGAGGGAGACGGCTCAGCTCGCGGGCCTTTGTCGCTCCGTCTTCCTCGGGGTGTACAGTGTACGTGCGTGTCGCCACGACAGCGCCGAGTCCCGCAGTCCACCAGGCCGCCGCAGACAGAGGACGGCGACGCTGGCGATGCCGAGCCACATTCTCCCGGGACCGCAGCGCAGGCAGCCAACTGCCAGTTCGCAAACTTTCCCCTAAGGGAAGCAGATAGTCACGACACAGCGAGGGGCCAAGCAGTGACACCCAAGTTAGTTTGGCCCGTATCAAGCAATCCTAAACCACCCCTCACCTCAGGCGCTGTCGGCCTCGGTGGCGGCCTCGGTGGCGGCCTCGGTGGCCTCGACGAGGAGCAGGGAGCAGCACGCGGCGCCGTTTTGGTCTCTTTGGCGCAAACTAGGCCGGCGGCGGCTCGTCGGCGCGGAGGCTCGTCGGCAGGGCCACCCAGCATGCGCGCCCCGCGGCGCGTCACTCCCAGGGCCCCTGGCGGCTACCCTTCACGGCCCCTCGGGGGGCCTCGGGGGCCTTGCTGGCCTTGCTGGCCTTGCTGGCCGGGCCCTTTGGCTCGCCCTTCGGCGGGGCCTGCGGCGGGGCCCAGACCCCTGCTGGGGCGCTATGCCTTCCGTGGCTATGCGGTCTGCACCGCCCCGGGGCCCCGGGCGCACAACCCTCCCCACCGCGCCCCGCCGCCCCGCCGCACTGATTGCGCAACACGCCGCGCTCAAACCGCCGGGCATTTTTACGATTTGAATGGCGTGGACGGAAAGGGCGGCCATTGCCGGCCATTGCCCATCGCTCGCTGCAGTGTAGGCAGTGTAGCGTTCCCACGCAATTAACGCCAATTTGCGGCCAAAATGACGAAGAAAAGAAGCAGAAGGGGGGAGGGGGTTGCGTGGAGGCTGGACTGCAGGGACTGCAGGCCGGGCTGGCTGCATGGAGAGATATTATTTCGCGGAATGGACATGAAACGCCGCCAGCCGGCCCGGCCCGACCCGGCCCAACTCGTCACGGCACGGACCCCGCCCCGCCCGCGGCCCCACCCCGCCTCGCCACGCCCCGCCCCGCCCTCATCAGGCGGTGTTCTCCCTGGTGCATAGCGTTCCTAGCGTGCAGTGTCGCGACCATTTCCGGGGGAAACGCCGCGGAAACGAATATGCCGCACGGGCGGAACAAGTCCGCGTTGCGGTTCGCGTCAAGGCCCCCCCCCCCCACCTCACCCCCGCGCGCTCGGTGGGAGCCCCCCGAGGGGCATTCCGGACGGAGAGACGGAGACTTGAACGCCGGTGCCCGGCGAGGCACCGCGACGGTCGATATGCGACGCGGCGACGACCAAGGCGGTCTTCGCGGCCATCCGGCCTGGGGGGCGGGTACCAGCAGGTCCACACCCTAACAGTGCAGGGGCCTGCTGTAGCCTGCTGTGGTCGCTTAGGACAGTCGACGACTCACATTTTCCCTTTTCTCCCAACAACCGATGGAGCCGGCCTGGATGGTACGGCACCGTCCTGGCCGAGGCCGCCAAGGCCCTGGTGATCCAGGATGCCGGCGATAAGACCCTGAGTGCTGCGCGGTGCCGCGCGCCCCGCGTGATAAAAGAAGTCATCAGCGGTCGGGTGCGGTGACGTCCCCGTCGATGGGAAAGCGTCGCGTCTAGAGGGCCCTCACACGGTCCACGCCACTGCCTCCCTTCCCCTCCAAGGATTTTCTCCGTTTTTTTCAACGGTTTTACTTCCGCTTGCAGCGTGGGCCCTAATATTTCTTTCCGCGTGGAGCACGCGGTGTGGAGCACGCGGTGTGGAGCACGCGGTGTGGAGCACGCGGTGTGGAGCACGCGGTGTGGAGCACGCGGTGTGGAGCACGCGGTGTGGAGACGTGCCCGGCCCGGCGAACGCGGCTAACGCACCGCATCGGGCATTGGGCCACACCGCGCAGCCACGGCGCAGCGCAGACCAATTTGCCGAGAATGCACCAAACCGCCACGCCGCGCCACGCCGCGCCACGCAGGAGAGAGAAGAAGCTCGGCCGTGGTCCGGGTCCCCGGTGCGAACGCCCCCAGACCCGTCCGCCCGCCGCCCAGAGGACCCGGAGTACCCGGAGGACCCGGATGAGGTGGCCGAGGTGTTATCGGTCGTCCAGGCGTCATAAGACAGTGGACACGCGGCCTAGTGCCCGGGGTGCCCGTCGTAGCGACTAGCGTGCCGCCCGGTGGGCCTTGTGCTGTCGCGGTCCAGCGCCACCGGGGAAAGAAATGACTCTGCGCGGTGTCGGTGGGAGATAAGATTTGGGTTCCAACTGGCTAGGCGTTACCCCAGCAGCCGGCCAGCAGCGCGGTACCACGCAGAGCACCGCGCAATTCAATCGGACGCGGAGCCAAAGTCTGCTGTCCGATAATGACTTGAAATTCAGAATCCTCCCTTGAGGTTTTCCTCGTCTGGGACCGGCCTGGCGCCACGGCTGAAACAAAAAGAGGACCGCAGTCGATTCCCCTTTTCCAGGCGCTTTCGGCAAACGCGTGCTGCATGGTCTGCGCGGATGCGGCGCGATGCGGCGCGATGCGCTGCAACAAAGTGACTCCAGCACGGTTCGAGTGGTTCTGGTTCGTGTACCCGTGTACCCGTCGAGCCGGGGGCGGGGCAGCGGCGGCAGCGGGGCGCGCCGTGGACCCTGCGGGCAGATCCTGGGGGCGTGTCCGTGGGGGCCCCGGGGCCCCGGGCGGATCTCGGGTGCAGGGGAGGGCCGTGCGGGGCCGGAGCCGCCATGGGGCCGCCACTGCAGGGACTACAGGGACTGCAGGGCAGCGCCGAGCGCCCCAGGCGTGCCCCCTCAGTGCGTAGGATGCGGCACCGCCGGGCTGGGCCCCGAAGGCCCCGTGGGTGCCCCGAAGCTGACTCATACATTCGTTGCGCTTGGCCGGCTTGGCCGAGCCGGGCCCAGTCTGGTTCCCTCACTAATTTATAGACACTCTAGCCCGGAGCGCAATCAAATCCGTTAAAATCATTTCACATTAAGCGCAATCCGATCCCAGGCAGCGGCCGCTCTGTCTCTCTCCCACCCGTACGGGTGGGTCGCGGGCTGCTCCAATTAGCCCAGGTCCGCGGCGTCCGCGGCAAGCCGGAAGCCGCCGGGCATTCCTCACTGCCTGCTCACTGCTCGCGGCGCGGCGCAGCCAAGCCAAGGGCGCAGCGCGCAGCACGGCCAGACGTCGCCCTTTTTGTCTCCAAATATTTCGAGACTTTCTCGTTTTGGTGGCCGCCTTCGCCCTTCCCGGACACACACTGTGAGTGTCGCTGCTGCGTGCATCACGCCCTCGGCCCCCGGCCCCTCCGGGCGATAGCCATCGCGGGACCGCCCTCGTGCAGAACGGCGTGGCGGAGGTGGCCTGCAGCAGGGCGGCCAGGGCGGCCAGGGCGGCCAGGGCCGTGCACAGGCCGCGCGTCAGTTTAGAAGAGCAGCATTCTGTAATGACGGTCGCAGCGTAACGACTTCATAGGCTATCATTTGGACCCCATCCCATTTGGATCACACGACCGAGTGGCCCTGCAGCATCCAGCACGTTGGCCAACCTGCCCGACCCGCGCACACACACGCACACACACGCACACTGTGTTCTGCCCGCAGCCTCACCCGGTTGCGACCCCCCTCCCCCTTTCCCCCTTCGCAACTCGGCCAGGCCGGCGGCCCGCCCCGCCCCGCCCCGCCGCCGCGGTGGGCCGTGTTCGAATCGTGGCCGACGCCGCCGACGTGCCGTGGACCTGCCGGGCTGGGCGCTGCACGGCCAGCAGACTCATTCCGAGAGTCGTTTGTCTCTCTCACACCATGCGGTACGCTCGGTGAGAGCGAGAGAGGCAGCGCGACGAAAACGACTCTCGGAATCAGTCCGTGCAGAGGCACGAGGGGCACGAGAGGCGAGACGAGGACGGGACGCATTTCATTGGTGGCGGGGCGTAGCGGCGCAGCGTGGCGACGTTACCGGCGTGTATAGCCTGTCTTTAGCGGCCGTTGCAATCATCCGCAGCGGGGGCGTGGCGGGGCGGGCGGGGTGGGGCCCATGGCGGAGGGCCCAGTGCCGTGGCGCCCCCAGGGGACTACCGGCCCGGACTCGGACCGGCCTGCCCCGGCCTGCCCCGGCCTGCCTCCATGCTGCCGAGCGCGACTCCACTGCTCTCCGTCTCTCTCGCACTCCTCCGGCTCACTCCATGAGTGCAAGAGAGACAGAGCGGAGAGTGCAGGCATCGGAATCACGGACGAGCGGCGGAGCGGCTGCATGGCGGCGTCCGCACAGATTGCGTTCAATCGGGATCCCCGTGGCGCCGTACAGTACAGTGCAGTGCGGCGCAACGCGTCTGCCGCGGCCAGCACACTGATTCCTCTCGCGTCCCGTATGGGTGCGAGAGAGACAGAGGGACGCGAGCGACTCTCGGAATCAGACTGCAGGGTACTCACATGCACGCGTTTACCTTTACAGATACGGATGCACGTGCACACAATCATACAATGGGCGGGCCATGGGCGGGCCGCGGGCCGCAGCCAGGCCTACCGCCAGCCTACCGCCAGGCCGGGCATTCTTCGGCCTCGGCGCCGCCCAGCCACCACGCACCCTCACCCTCGCCCGCCACATCCTGTTGCTCCTAGGCTGGACCAGGCTGGGGTCGCGAGAAAAGCTAACTCGAATCTAATTGAGCCAGAATGATTGTTTGTAGGGCGGGGCGGGGCGGGGCGGGGCGGGCCTACCTCGACGTCTGATGGGGGCGCTTATCAAAAAATAAACGGTAACGCCGCGCCTCGACGAGCAGGCCAAGCAGGGCGAGTGGAAGGGGTCGTAGACTACAGTCTCATTCCGATCGTCGCTTCGTCGATCTGTCTTACGGACCACGCCATGAGTGCGAGAGAGAACGGCCGCTGCAGCAGCATGCTGCCCGATGCTGCCCCCCGCCTGATGAGTGGCCCAGGGTCTCAGGGCTGAGGAGGTGGCTTTATGAAATACATAATTACCCGCTGGAGCCTACCGAGAGGATGCGGAGAGGCTAGGGGGACGGGAAGGACGGGGCTCTGGATTGACTTCGGGTCTGGAGGAGGCCGGCCGTCCGAACGCGTTGATGGCGTTGATCGAGGGTATCCGAAGCAAAATGAAAACAGCGCCGAGGTCAGCAGGGTCAGAGGCGGGCGGCCCGAAGGCGGGGGCAGCGGGCTTGCGGCCTGGCGGGTTGGAGGCACCGGGCCAGGAAGGGGCCAGGCACCTGCAGGAGTCGCGGCCGGCTTGGGGGCGGGCCCGGCGGGCCGCTGCCGCTACACTGCCGCTCCGTGCAGAGCACATCAAAGCCCTGGCCGCCCTGCCGCCCAATGAGAAATGAGCCGCGACCGCAAAACGGGGAAGCGAGTCAATGAAAGAGAGGAGGAGAATGAATCGCCCGCCGGCAGGGCGTCAGACTCATTCTGTCTCCGTCGCACTCATGAGTCGTCCAGCAGCGCGTAGCAGTGCGAGAGAGACAGAGCACCGAAACGACCCTTCGGCGCGCCACCCCCGTAGCGTCACTTTCTATCACACCTCGACACGCCCCGTCCTCCTCCTTCGGGCTGCCCACGAAGCAAATTTGGCGCGTGGGAACAAAAAAAATCGTCCCTTTTTGCGCGCGTTGCCCCCGGCGGGTTTCGAACCCATAACAGTTTTGTCATCACAAGCGCGCGCGACCGCTTCTACCGGTCGCGGCAGAGGTGGCCCGGGGCCCTGGCCGCTGTCCCCAACGGGTATCTGCGTGCTGACATGTCCGCTGTCCGCGTGGAGGCCGCTCGCCGTGACCGGCCCCCCCAGCCCCGCCAGCCCCGCCAGCCCCACCCCGATCCAGCCGAGTGATTGATACGTGCTGTCACTCCGTCATCCGCATCGGTTTATCGAGTTTATCGAATAATAAAATCGCTGTCCCGGCTTCGTCCAGTCCGCGTTCCAGTTTCGTGGCGGGGCGGGGCGGGGCGGGGCGGGGCGGGGCGGGGCGCGGGCGGGGCGCGGGCGGGGCGGCGGCGGGGCGGGGCGGGGCGGGGCGGGGCGGGCGGGGCGGGGCGGGGCGCGAGCACGGCGATGAGGCGACGCTGGCACTGGCGGTCGTCGCCGTCGTCACACGGCGTTAGCACTGCGCCCCGCCACCTCGTGCACCTCGTCTCGGATCCCCAATGAATACACGCCGGGCTGATTCCGAACAGTGCAGTGTCCGCGGAAGGCCGCGTCCGCCTTGTGAGTGCGAGAGAGACAGAGACGGCCTGCAGGGCGTAGTGGGAGGACGTCAAGAGCGATGACACGGCCTGCTCACGGCCAGGCTCTATAAGTAGCCCGGCCCGGACGTAAATGAAGAAATAACAGGTCGCCGAGCGCCGAGCCTAGATGGCCGTGCCACACAAGCCGCGTCCAGCGCGCCGTGCCGCCGTGCCTGTCGCCTGTCGATGGGAAGGGAAAACGACTAATTGGAATTTTAAGTGCTGCTCTATTGAAAGTTTTCCTTCTTATTTCTTCTTTTTAATTTTTTGGTTGGTTAATCGGCCGCATTTTTGTTTTGGTCGGGACCGCGCGGTTCGGTTGGCCCGGTTAGCCACCCCGGGAGAAGTGCGGGGGAAGAGGAAAGGGGGAGGGGCTCCGCCATGGCTCCGTCGGCGAGCCGAGGACTAAGGGATAAAAACGACTGTCGAAACGGGTGCCGGCGATGATGATTCACCGGGTGGGCCAAGCCTGGCCAAGCCTTGGGCCAAGCGCAGTGTGCCGCCGAGGCTGCATCACGAGGTGCCATGAATGGTGCGGCGTAGTGCAGCCAGTGCAGCGGACTCCAGGGCCGGGGGACGGAGAAGAGGAGGGGCAGGGCGGGCAGGGTGCGATCGGGCAGTCGTTTCGTCGCTGTTTCTGTCGCACTCATGGGGCGCGTTCCGTGGGTGCGAGAGAGGCGGAGCGACGAAACGACTCTTCGGAGTCGCTCGGGGGAGGGAGCCCCACCGGTCGAAAAAAGACCAGAGCCCCCGAGGGGGAGGGCCGCTCTGGTGTAGGTCCTCGGAGGCACTTATACCTTTCCCACCCTTTGGCACGATCCTGGGCCAGGCGGCCAGGCCCTGGAGAGGAGGCGGCTACCGCGTAGGCGCACTCTCTCATCCACGCGGCACCAAGACTCTAGTGGGCAAAGGGTTTCAGCGAGGGCATCGTGGCTACAGGAGGATGAAGACTGGAGCGCTAAAGAGGCCATTACGGGCGCGCCGCCGTTTTCGGACGTGGCCAGCGCGTCCGAAAGCTCGAGTAGTCTTCGGGTCCTCTTCGGCTGGTCTCGGTGCATCTCCGGGGGTGGGGGGCGCGTAGCGGGGCAGCCTTCGTGCCACCTGGAGCCCGCCAGCACACCCGAAGTGTCGCCGAATGACGTCGGAAACACCCGAAGACTGCTCGAGACTCGAGGATCGCGCAGGTACAGTTTTATGGGGGGCAATTTAGCAGTCGCGCGCTGGCCTGTGGAGAAGCATAGGACGTTAGCGCTCCAGTCTTCATCCTCCTGTATCGTGGCTACTGTCGGCGCGCCGAACATACCGACGAAGAGCAGTGGGTCCGCGCGGCCCCTCTGCCTCCGCCCCGGCGGCCCACTAGGCGGCCCCGGACCGCGGGCTCCGGCTTCGAGATTGGGCGTTAGATTGGCGAGGAACATCGTGGATCGGCGCCCCCTCCCGCTCCATCCAGTGACGTGCTTTGGATGTGCGGTGCGCATTGTTCCCCGGACGAAACGTTGCAGACGACAGAGAGAAACGATCGGGGCAGCGCAGCCGAGTTAAAGCCCCGAGACCGAGTGCCCGGCCTTCCTCTGCTCGGAGTCGGAGCATCGAGAGACTGTCCCTCTCCCTCTCTCCCGCAGGATCCCCCTGCAGACTGATTCCGAGAGTCGTTTTCGTCGCTGTCTCTCTCGCACTCATTGGGTGTCGCGTAGAGGTGCGAGAGAGACAGCGACGATGACAACTCTCGGAATCAGTCCTCTGCGGCGGCACGCCACGGCCGAGGTAAGGGTCCTGCTCCTTCCTTCGCTTGCATCGCTGCGGTCCCGCTTGCAGAATTGTCCCCGAAAGTCCCGGCCGGCCGGACCCTTCTTGTTGGGATTCTTTGCGCCGCTTTGCGCCACGCAGCTCGGCCTCGGACGCTCTGCTCCGCGTTGTGCACCGCGAGCCTCCGCCGCCGGACAGCACCTGGAGGTCCTGCAGCCGCCCTTCCCCCGGCGGCCTGAGGCCCGGCTCCTCGCACGCCTCGGACCCGGACCCGCTGGCCGCAGGGGCCGCAGGCGTGTGGCCGCGAAGCGCGAAGCACAACGCGGAGTCCTTTCTCCTTCCCCGACTGGCGGGCAGCGGGCCTGGATCCTGGACCTCTTGGTCCTTGAGGACTGCCGCCGGGCGCTTCGACGCTTTGGCGTTACCGGCCGCGAGAGTCCGAGACCGAGACAGCGCACGGCGCAGCGCGTCCTCGTCTCGTCGCCTTTCCCTTTACTTGGCTTCCCTCCCCCCACGCCAGACCATGGTGAGACGCCGGCCCGGCCAAAATGCTCCACAGGCCTAAACTCCCCCTCCCCAAAACAAGAGCAACAAGACGTCGTGCAAGTCAAGCCATGTGCATCGTAATCATTATTTCGCCCGCGCGCCTGTGTGTGTGTGTGTGTGATGCGTGCGGGAGAGAGAGAAGAGAGCAGTGGCGGGCCCGGATGCTGCGTCACGCATGCTGCCAGTAGAACTTGCGCGCTCTGATTTGATGTCATGTTTCTTTTTATCGTTTCTGTGACTTAGAATACATGTTCATTTTATCATCAGCGCGTGATGTTTGGTTGAGTTAGCAATTGAGACTACGGTTGTTTTTAAACCAAAAGGGATTTAATAATATAAATGAAGTATGTACAAATCAAAACACATTTAATTATTTACTAAGAACTTTCCTTAATTTACGGGCATATTTTTGTTTTAAAATAGTAACTTTTGATGTTGGTTTCACTCCTCTTCTTTTGCTGAGCAGGGGCTCACTGCCTGAGGTCCTCACTTTTCTTGATTTATTTTTAAATTGTTTTTTCTGGCGAATATTCTTTACCTTGATTACTTGTTCCGTCTGCACATAGAAATAATCCATTAATATTCAGCAAAGTTATCAAATACAAGAATAAAATGCAATTAAGTATAGTACCATAATGTCTTCTTTGAGAGATGTCAGGGCACTCTTGTAAACGTCCTCTAGAGCTTTGATGCTTGAAGTGTCAACAATTTTCTCCTTGACTGTGGCATCTTTCTCGGCATCTTTCAGCATTTTCATAAATTTAGGTTTCTGTGAGGCGAAAGAAAAGAAGGTAAAGTTTTTAATGCAACAAAATTAACAGACAAAGCGAAAGATTACTTGGGGAAACATTCACACCTGTCTCTCTACAAGTAAACTAACAGCTGTTCCTTTGCGACCAGCACGCCCTGTTCGACCCACTCTGTGGATGTACGTTTTAAGATGCTTGGGAACATCATAGGAAATCACGCAGTCTACATTTGGAATATCAATACCTCTTGAAAAAGCATCAGAGCATACCAATCTGAAAGAAGAAATACAGAATATGTACAAAAAAAAAATGAACATTAAATTATTTATAATAACATTCTCACACACTTACACATTGACACTGCCCGAAACAAGTTTTTTCAGGATTTTTTCCCTTTCAATATGAGTAAGTGTTGATGAAACTTCTGCTACACCTTTGGTGTCCTGAAGAAGATGTTTCATTAAAACTGCTAATCTGTGAACACTCTCAATTGTGTTTGCAAACACAATAACTGTATTCCAGTTTCCTTCTGATATGAGACTATACAAATATAATGGCTTTGTATCAGGGTCACACAACACCCACTGTTCAGTGATCTCCGCTGGTGTTGAGAATTTCCCAACAAATGAAGAAATCTCAGTTTGCTCTAGATAAAAGAGATACATAAAACAATGAGATGAAAACAAATAATGCCATCCAAGGAGTTAGTTACAAGTTTTAGGTTTGATGAATAATATACCTGTACTGCTTCCACTGACAACAACTGATGTAAACAGCCTTGGCTGAAAGAGATTTAGTTCTTTGAGCAATTCAGGATCACTACTGAGTGTAGCAGAAAAGAGCAATTTCTGTGGTGGTGGACGTCGGAGAGCTGTATCCTTAATGGTCAAGGAAGCCACTCTTCTAGTCTGATCTAAACAAAAAAACAATATTAAAAATAAATAAATTGGCATCTAGTAATTAGGAAGTAGAGTATGCGTACCTGGGTGCAAATGGTTCTCCAAATGATACAGCCAATCATCCTGGACTGATTCCAAAACACGATCAGCTTCGTCAATAACAAGGTATTTCAAGTGATGCAGTGAGAAACCATTAGTTGATTTTAAATGATCAACTAGACGACCAGGTGTTGTTACCACAATATCAGCACAACTGTAGTGTTTTTTATTGGCTTCCGCTTCGATGTTAAGAAAAAAGAAGAACAAATGAAATGGTAGGTAATGAGCTTGAGTCAACTTGTTACACATCTTTTGAAAAGAATGAAGAAAAAAACTCACAATAATTGACAAGAAGTGACTGCTCAAATTCAAATGATTCTTTAGCATTGATGCACACTGCTTTAAGGTCTGTTATGCCTTTGGTAAATTCCTGGAAGACCTTGAATACTTGGGTGGCAAGATCTTGAACAGGAAGGACGATTAGAGCGCGAACATGCCGTACAAACCTGTGGCGCAATGCCTGCAGACAAAACACACAAAATAAATTGTTAGAGGAAAGTATTTGAGGAAATAGATGTCAAATATAATGGCAAAAACAAAAAAAATTGGAAATATACCTGTACAATGGGCAAAACAAATGCATAAGTTTTACCACTTCCAGTAGGTGCCGACACACAGACATCTCTTGGCCAAAACTGGAGCGGCTTGCCTTGAGCTTCCAGGAGAGCTGGAATAACTTGTTGTTGAACTGCAAATTACAGGAAATGAATGAGTGGAGAAACAAAATTATGCTTTCACTTTTCACAGTACATGACTAAAGTTGACAATAAGAAATTAACAAATACAATTCTGTTAATTATTTATTTTTATGCGTGCTGCAAGAAAGCTTACCAGGGAAAAAATGAGTTACTTTATTGGAACGCAGTTTCTCTATTAAATCTTTATCTAATTGAGGAACGTCATCTATTGAAACTGTAAGATTTTGAAGGTCAACAGAGAAGGTGGACGGGCTAGCAAGCCAATGTGGTAGTTGGGCCTCAACCTATGAAATAAGATTTGAATTAACATGCGCATTGTTCACAACAAATAAAAAACAGTTATTTTTGTTTTGTTTTTATAAATTACCTCTGACTTTTTGCCACCAAGGTTATCATCTCCCAGTATGGTAAAATTTCCAATAGTTTTAGAATTTGGTAATTTATTTCCAGCGCCCTTTTTATCTTTAGGTTTTTTCTCCTTTAATTTGGTTTCCTCTGGTTTCTTGATACTCCTTTCATTTTTCTTAGCTTCGTATTTAGCTGCCTTGACTTTCTGTCTAAGACTTTTCTTTTCAAGCTTTTTCTTCTCTTCTTGTTCTTTTTCTAAAGCCAACTGTGCAGCTATGCGTTTCTTTTCTTCGATTTTTGAGAGCAAACGTTGTAAATGACTTGATTTAGACGCTGATGCATCTGGCTCTGCCTTGGAAACATCACCATTGTATCTAGAACGCAAATTTGAAAAAGATTAAAAGGAAACAAAATTGTTTAAAATCTTGGGGAATAAAGGAAGGATAGCAGTTTATTTAAGGTATCAAAGGGTCATCAAATCCTGATTAAACCAACAAACAATCAAGAGAAAATGTAACTTTTGTATTCATGGAGTGAGTCAAAGACTAGTACAGGCTAGCTGTTCGGAATTGTGATAGGTATGTTCATGTCAGCATGACCACTCATGAGACATGTAAAATAAATGGTATGTGAGAGACTAGCCAACTGCCGCACCCTTGATTGAAGAACTTGCAGTGACATCCTCACTAGTCTCACCCTAGTGGTTTCTGCTCAATATGTGGTGTGAGCTTAGCAATGAAATCCTCGACAAATTAAATGCTCAAGTGAAACTTGTTATCTTTGAACAAACCATGCTACCAAATTGAAACAGCTAGCATGGTAGACTCTTGACAAAGGGTGTCTTTTCTCAAAACTTTGTCTTGAATTAATCTTAATGGGATATTTGATAGCAATGTCACACGTAGTGTAGGCAAATCAACACTAAACCATACTAATGTGGTTACTGCAATGCAAACAAGAAAACTTTTCCTACCTTTCGATTACGAATAAATCCATGACAGTGTAGTACTCTCGATGAAACGTGCGAAATCAGTCGCTCGAGGGATGATCTTGTCTTGGTTCAGAGTTTTTCTTCTCGCCAATTTGTGAACTGAAACAGGTACGAATTAACCAACACGCCACACGTGTTGTTGTTGATGGATGTCCTGCGAATAACACCAACCACCACCTATTCGCAGGAAAGTCACTTTTTCAAACAAATGAACGTCACTCTTCCAGCCCAGCACAGCAGCCGAAGCAAGATCAGCTGGGTTTGGCGTTGATTGTGATTGTGCTAAAGTTTCAAGTCTTCGTCCAAGGATGCCTCCCAGGTCGTTTGGTTGGTTCGACAGTCCCGATGGCGAGGACATTCTGCAGAAGATAAACCTCGCGTCAAAAGTGGGCTTCGTCGCTGGGATGCCCCTTGCCATCTACGATCATTGCATGAACCGCCAGGCAACTTTGAAAGGTTATGCCTTCCGAGCCTCTGCTTGCATTCTTCCTTGCGTTGGCGCTGGAGCGGCCTTCGCTCTGACGACGCAAAGCCTCTGCAAGAAGTTCCCCAAGACGAACCCCGAGTGGTGGTACATGGTGGGCGGCGTGGCCTCGGCGTCCGTGATCGGAGGGGCTGTTAAGAGCGTCAAAGTCGGTGCTGTTCTCTCCTTCTACTTTGCCATCTCCGGTGCCCTCGCCCGCAACTTGTGCGACGGCAAGCTGCCTGCTATTATGTTTGGTACACTGCCGCAGCAGCTCAACAACGACGACGAATTATTGCAACAAGACTACAGAATCGACCCTCAGCCAATGTGGAATATGCCTCTCCCAATGGCACGTCCGGCTAGGCCTCACTCTGATTTGGGTTTTTATTGATTTTACTATTGTCAAGCTAGATTTGTCTATTAATGTACATAAACTTGTTTAAATCTAGAAACTCTCCTGTGTCTGTGAAATATTGATGAAAATACATGCTGTCAATCCAGTTAAAGTTGTGATCCATTACTGCTGTCGTTATGACACTTCCGTGGTGAACTCCTGTTAAGAATAGCCACAACAGCTGTAGCTATATCATTGACATTCAATGCCTTTTTTTCTGTGGAAACTGTCTCATTCACTTGCGAAGGGGTTATTGGTCTGTAAGTACACCTAAGCTTGCAATTGTCTTCCAGAAGAAATTTAAGTTTCTCCAGAAAGGGGTATGGCGGACAAAGGAGGAGAGAGAGAAGGATTTCATTTTTTTTCTGGATTTTTCTGGATTTCTGGATTATATCTGCTGAATTTTTTAGGTCCCTTCCCAACTTGCAATGCCCCAGGGAGTATTTTTGTAGTAAGCATTTTGGGTTGGCCTCTCGCTTGGCATTGACAATGCAGGACCATATCTAGGTGGCACAACTCCAGGACAAATTAAAAAAATTGACTGCAGATTGACTTTGAGAAGTTTGTAATCATTCATTCATAAATATTTAACAACAGTACAGCATTTAACAAGTATGTTGTTCATTTGTACTTCTGTTCTTGAAAACAACATCCACTTCATCAGTGGAAGTAAGTTTTGAGGACATCAGGATGATATTTTTCATGAATATACGTAGTACTCATGAGCGATCCACATTCATTTCTTTCTTCAACAAACACCCTCAGTGAAGAGAGACCTGAATGACACTAAGCTTAAATAACAATGATTCAGAACGTAATGTGAAGACATTATGAGAACTGGTGAGAAGACTCCTTTGCATTTTTTTTGGTACCAATTTAGTACACCTTTAACTAGCGTGACTGACTCTCAGCTGATCTTGAAGGATACTACAAAACATTTTGAGGGGATTTAAAAACAAAGAAAAGTAGCTTTCAGTCCAAAGAGCACTCAAATGCCCATATGATGAGGGTAAAAAGGCAGAAGGAAAAACTGGGGAAAAAAAATACTGCTAGTAACTGAAACCTAAGGCACATCATGTTGAAATGTTGAGACAGTGGAGCTTAATTTCTATTGAGCTGAGACTCGCCACCCAAGGACGCAGAACAATGATGTAGTGCAGTAAACGCCAGCTAGCTCACACAAATGTGCTGTTGTTGTACAGGATTAAAATTGGATTAAAATAGAACAAGAAAGTCAATGTGATGATTAAATTGAACAATCAAACACTGAGTCCACTTAGCGACGAAAAAAGAGACAGTAATTACTGTCGAGAGGTATGATTATGATGATGATGACACTAATTAGGCTTAGATAACATAGTAAATCACAAATCAATAGCATACAACTGATTTTTGATAAAGTCATTCAATATCCCTCTCATAATTAAGACATAAGTGAGTGACCAAGCAGGGCCTTAAATATCTGAAGTAAATAATGAAATAGTATAAGGACACTATAAAATTTCATTTAACAACCATTATAATCGGTGTAGATTTATCTAGTACAGCACCTCAACAGATTTATATTAATAGATCTTTGACTATTATAGCACTTGAAAAGTTAATGAAACACTTAAACACCAACTCCACTTGCTTAATGAACAATTGAAGTAACATAAGCATGCCCTATGGTAAGCCCACAATAACATCAAGAAATGATCAACATTTTCACATTTAGATTTTTTACAGAGCCAAGATGATTTGGTGTAACACTTATGAAGTTACCTTATTCCATCATAAGGATGAGAAAAGAGTGGGAAGCCGTGAAGGAAGCAACTGTTATACACCCCATTAATTTACCTTAATTTTGTTCTTTGAACTTTTTTGACCAATGATAGAACAGGACAAATTAATTTTTCCTACAAAGGCTACTCAAACATAAAGTGAAGCAGTTATAAATTACACAACCATTAACATCAAGAGGCAATAAATGTTGCTCTCAGTTTAACAATAATACAGAATTCTTTCAACTACTGTTAGAAATTTTTCTCCTTCAGTCGAACAGAAACACAGATCCATAAGAGAAAGTGTGTGTATGCAAGTCCATACACTTAACATCAAACCTACATTTTTTCATTTTCTTCAAAATCTGAGATACACTTTAATACAACAATAACATTATTTAACAACAACAATTGAACTAGGGTGCACTTACAATAGTTTCTCCCAGATATTAGTGCCCACTCATGTCAGTGGATAAGCTAAACATTTGCAATACTGTAGTGTTATATTTAATTGCAAACATCACAGCCTGTTAATAAATGATTGCTTCATAAAGACCTGTTGAGTAGGATGTTAGAGGGATTTTTTTTCAGTCACGTCTCAAAAGGAAACCGGGAGATTCCACAAGAGGGGAGAAGTAGACAATGTTGCAAAGAATGAGTATCATATAGTTTGCATTATCATATGGAAATAGGTCATTACTGTTCAAGCCTGCTGTGAAGTGACAAGCAGGAATTTTTTGAATTCTTACTTCTTTGAATGGGAAGGAACAGAAATTATAGCAAGAGGCTGGTTGAAGATCTGAATCTTAAAATAGAATTAAAACAATTCAAAGGTACAACTGTGTTGATTTCTTTATCTTTAAATTGAATTGAAGCAAAACATGAACAATAACAAAAAACATTGGAAAGAAGAGAGCAGAGTCAACAACAACTAACCTAAATAATTTGTTTGTCTTCCATGAAGAACAAGAGAATACATTAGAAAACTCATAAATTTCCTGGTTTGTTGTAGAAAAACTCTCTTGATAATTTTGTAGCAGTCCTCCCCACCCTCTACTAGCCAAACAATTCATTCTAAAGGAATGTGCCAGTTTCAGCTTCTTTTAAGGACAAAATTGTTAACGGAATGCTACAATATAAATTTTTTTGCAACTAACACAAATCAGTGAGCTTTACAAAAGTTGAAACAAAATTCGCATTGGGTGCATCACAAAAACGTAATGAAAAATTTGTTCTGCTCAAACAGTACAATACATCATGCTTGATTTAACACTTTTGATAGGGAAACAAAAACCAATAATCTACAACATTAGCTGTCAATTTGTGCTTTTCTTTTGTACTACCTAGGGTATATAAAATCTGTGCTTGTTTTCACAAATTGTGGATGAGCTCTACATTCGTTTCAACAAATTATAAAAAGGTATTAACAACGGTATAAAACAGCAATAAGGAACAAAGCCATACAATGACTTGTTTTCTAGCTGAAGAAAAGAGGTAACAATGATGATTAAAAGGGAGTTTTAATTTTAAGCTAGGAGCAGCCAAACTTCATATGTTATTTCTGGCTTACGTAGAAAGAATCTGTAAATAACATTTAGGTAAGTCATAACTAATTTTTTTAGGCTGATTACACTAGTGACTTTTATAGTATTCCTCTGTACGCAATTTCTGTGCCAAAAGATTTAAAAAGTACAAGACATAAAGGAGGAATGTTAAACCCTCATTGACCAAAACCAAATGCCAAGTACAGATAAGCTCAATAAACAAAAGATGCACACAAAAATTTACTACCTTGAAGGTTTTACATTCAGTAATTGACTTAACATTACAACCTCAAGCTCTCAAGAAATCACAATATACACATTAAATATAACCCTCAAACAACAACGTACTTAGTGTTGAAACTGGATCTTTAAATTTCATAGATGCATGGTTTAAATGTTTTGACATAGTATACAATATCAAGTGAACTGTTGCTGAGGTGGCAGCAGCTATTGAACACGGTACTTTCCTGGCCGAAGCAATGCATCAAGAAGTCATTTGTAATCAATGTTTTAAACACATTAAGTATTTCGTTTAATTTGAAGGTAATGAGAATTACAATAAAATGATGACCTACTTTGGGCTCATTCCATTCAGCACAAGATTTACAATCTTGCCACTACCCAAGACACCAGCAATTGGGCTTGTAAATTCATTTTTCTGGAAGATGTGTCAAAATGCAATAACTTGATAATAAATATTATACCAGTGAAACATGCCACACAATAAGCCATGCTCAATGATGAGAAAGGCTTGTGAGAAAGTAAGTGAAGGTAGATATTTCTGGACAACAGATATTTCTTAATAGTAGACTTTGCATTATGAGAAGCCTAGGATACCCTTCTTCACCACAACACTCACAACTAGGCGCACAAGCGCTCCCAAACATACAGTCACACTCGCACGTAAGAACACACAAACATGCATACATACTCACATCCAAGTAAGGTAAAAGATAATTACATCAGCAAACCAATGTCAGGCCAACTTGATAACTTTAATAGTTTCTTATTATCACCATTTAGAGGAAGACGCACCAGGAGAAATGTGACACTTGATGCAAAGTTTTTCTTCCTGATTCTTTCTTTCTTGAAGTTTATCAGTTCCAGTTGTACATGTTATACCCTCCGCCCATACCAATAGGATTGTATCGATGCTGAAGTTTGTCCTGGCGTATGGCTCCATAGGTTTGAGCGCCTTGACCAAATGTGTTAACAGTGGTACTGGTACCCCCTCGGCCTCCCCGTCCGCGCCCTCGGTTGCCCACGACCGAAACTGGCATTCCTGCAACAGAAATTTAGGATACATTGAATTGCCAATGAAAGAAAAAAATATAAAAAAAAATAGGAACACATAGAGGTGTCCTTTTCATTCTATGATGAAAAATGGAGACCCCTGCTTTACTAAAAACACATATGCGCCATTAAACAACAAAAATGCTTCCCATGAAGTGGAAAGTACAGAACAAACACCAAACTATTGAATAAAGCACATTGTGTATAGTTGCTTGTAGCTGCAAGATAATGCCTAGTTCATTAAAATTCACTTCAAACATGATCCAGATGGTATTTTGTAAAAAAAAAAGTACATTTCCTGGAAATTGAACAAACGTTATGGGGCTTGACATCTTTCCCATGTAAGTTTAATGAATTAAACCTCACAGCAATGAGTAGATGCAAAGTATGTCCAGTCATAGTTCTACTGTTCGATAGTGTCTACAACTTTTCCACTGAAGTTTCAACCAAATCAACTCTGAAACTTTTTTCAAAGGAAGTCAAGATAGAAAAAAAAATTAGTAGCCAAGCAAAAATTAAAAAAAAAGAAAAAAAGAAGACAAAAAGAAAAAAAATTATATTGGTAGAAGAAATAAAACACAGACCATGTAACAATGGAAATTTAATCCACAATAAACTACAAATCAAAGCATTTGCCTTATGAACACATGCAAACACATGCAACCTCACTCAGAGTTTTTCAAATGTCAAGGTAGAACTTTTCCAACCAACAAGCAAGAAGTATGTTAAGTGTTGGATGTGGGCTCTAAATTAAAAGGTTACCTCCAACTGAAGTAACTATGGTGCTCAGTTAGGAAAAGTCATGCCCATCACAAAGAGCTTACAATAATTTCAACACAAATTTACACAATTGGTAGAATTTGAAATCAATCAAACCATGAGAAATCAAACAGTGTCATAAAGATCAAATATTACTGAGATAAGAAAATCTTTGAGACAACTAGAGTGAAACTAAACCACATGAATTCTGCAAATTAGTATCTTCTTTACAATTTTGAGTAGAATGTAATCCATTAGAAGCTCAAGATCATTTGAAAACTAGAAGATAAATGACAAATCAAAGCTGATTCTTTCTTGTCCACTTCAAATATCATATCCACAATTAAAGAAAGAAACAAAACAAAACAAAACTATGTGAGCAAGATGAAAAAAAAATTAGAACAGTACAAAATTTTTTAAATTTAGCACTTCATTGTGGATAAGAGATTTTTCTTTCAAGAAAAAAGGGAAACAAAATCTATTTAGGATCAAAAGAAAAAGAAACTGAAAGGATGTTTGAAACAGTTGACAACCATTCATTCAAACCATCGAGGTATTCTTCCATCCTCAATACTTGTAAACTGAGAGAAGGTACATTTAGTAATTATGATGCCATCACTCCAATTAATTCAGACAGTTAACATAGAGGATGTTACCACAAGATAATTTATCTGAAAGCTTGTACAAATGACATTTCTGCTTCAATGTTCAATAATACAAGAAAAAGCTATTGCATTTGAATAACACAAAACAAACAAACTTCTAAATACGTAAAGTACAAAATAAAGAATACAATTTGGTATCCACCCTGTATTTTCATGTGAAATTTTTTAAGCCTTCTCTCCCTTCCCATCCTTTGTCACTGTTGACTCTGCACAGTTAATAATTTAGTTAAGGTTGACTGAACAAAACATAAATGCAAACAAGAGTCACAATAGACTGCTAGTTACAAAGTGATTGTGTCTACTAAAGTGCACATAAGCTGGCATGGATGTTTCAGCAGTCCCCCAAAACCATCATTTAAACAAAAAATCTATAGAGCAGTCAGTAGTTTCAAGTGTGAGCATGCATCCTGTTTTGGCGTTTCATCCAATTTTGGAAGGCGAAGTTACATGCTGCAGCTTTAAATGAAAAAAGGGGAGAAAAGTGACAGTTGAGACTAATCAAAAAGTAATAACAGTACAGTTATCCTATTACAGGTGGAAACACATTCACTCAAACATTTATGGACTTCAATAATAATCAAAACAAAATGGAGCAAAGGTTATAATATGATGCCAAAACCTCTTCAAAAGCCTGTACATAGCAAGTGAATCAATCAAAATTTTTTGAAGAAGTAGGGAGCAAAGTTATTGAAGGTAGTGGCATTGACTAAGCCTAAATCCTCAGTACATGTCACGTCTTATGGTAAGTTCTCTTCATACTAAGTTGAACATAATACATCTAAAATATATTGAATGTGGTTAGCCATGTATGGTGGGGTAAGACTTACAGGAAAGCATGATCAACTGACTAGTCTAAATATGTAAAAAGAAACTTAACGAAACTTACCTCTACTTTGAGTGTAGCCGGCTTGCCAACCTGCATAATAGGCAGCCTTTTGCTTGCCGTGCTCTTCTGCTATTTTCACTTGCAGGGGCTCAGTCCCGCCTTCAGGGATAACCCCATTCATTTGTTGGATTGCATCCATAGCTTCTTCTTTTCTGTCAAATCTATAAAATACATGACATGTAATTATTTTGTTGCTTTAAGTACAACCTAATAGACCAATTTCTAATACATTTTTACGGTGAAGGGACATATACCTTACAAAAGCTACTCCTCGTGGCAATCCTGTAATTTTGTCTTTTAACAGATTTTTCTGCACAATTGTACCAAATTTACCAAACAAAACTTCTAACTGCCCTTCTGTAACATTCCTGTAACAGAGCCATAAATTAAAATGTAATTATGTAGATGTGTGCATGAAAGATCATCAAAAGCATGGCGCATATTAACCATGACACAATTTATTTTAAAAACTTACTTTGGAAGGTTTGTTACATAGAGATTAGTTTCTTTGATGTCCTCTCCTGAGGGTCTTGCAAATGATACTTTCAAACGCTTATTTTGTACTTGTAGACCATTCAAGGTGGAAATAGCATGGGCAGCATCTTCAGCCTTGGAATAGTTCACAAACCCAAATCCGTAGCTGTAGCCAGTCTGAAAATGACATGTATGTTTTGTTTTTGGAAGGTGCCAATAGTTTGGTTGAAAGTTTGGTTGAAAACCAACTATGACTAGGAGGCAAAGACTGACAGATGTGAGTGACCTGCTCTACACTAATAACTAGCCTCACCTTAAAGTCCTTCATAACACGACAACTTTCAACAGGACCAATAGTAACAAACATGCTGTAAAGTTCCTTCTCAGTCATATTTTGTGGTAAATAGTTAACAATAAGGTTTGTCCTGGCATCATCAGCCTGAGACCGATTTTGTCCACCACCAAAATCAGTCATGTTCATCACCTTTCTTCTGTACACAGAATGGAAAACTGAATAGGGAAAAGAAAAAGGAACATTTTAGAGACGGTTCTTGTCTTTAGGACAGAATGATACTTCCTAAACTTAGTATAAATTGGTCAAAGGGACCCAAAGTGGTATTGAAGTGAGAAATTTTTCCCTTCCGCAATTCACGGTAGGTTCTGGAGAAAAAACTACTGGAGAAAACAGATTAACCGTAAAATATTAATAAACGGGCCAAATAAATAAGTCCACAACAAATGTCATGGAAAATGAAGGTTAGGAATTCCAAACAAGCAGAAGCATTCACCGCAGAGGTTTGACACCAGTGCGAAAAGAAGTTCTAATTACCAATACGCTGCAGACCGAAAAAAATACAACAAGACTAGTGGTCGAAACGTCCGAGAAGGACCAGTGTTTGTTTTTCTAAGGGAGAAGGTCTGAGCAAAATGAACACAAAAGTAGGGTCACAGCAGACACGAATTGAATCCGCAGCTCCAGTTCTTTCATGGTTCCTCTTATATTCATCCGCCTTAAATCACTTCCACGCAGCATAGTAAACCGTCAATTTCATCAGAATATACTCTTTTCACTCGAAATTATCGGTCTGCCTACCTCCAATACCCCAAATCCTCTTCCAAAATTTATCCTGCTTAGACCACACAAGTCAGTAACACAATTTTGAGGAAAGAAGTGCTGAAAAAAGAGAAGCTATATCACAGTGATTTTGTAAGGGTATTGAACAAAATATTTTATTGTTACATGCTATGGATCTTTTCAGAGTAAATAACGACTCTTTCGATGTAACCTACATTTTAAACCCGTGTGTTGATGGCTGTTGTTCGTTGGTGTCGTTTACTGCAGCAAGGGCGGGCTGTTTGATTGCGTGGATTGTCGGGGGAGTACGCAATGGTCGACAAAAGGTCACCGTTGGATGGGAGGGGGAAAGTGAATGAGATAATTTAAAGGTTTTCAGATTTAAATCTCAGAGGAGTTTTTCTTGATCATTAGATGACAGCAGATTCAGTGGACTTTACACGAATTGATAGCTGTCGTTTGGAAGTGTTCCTGGCCTGAAATTAGTTCGGCAAGACAAGGATAGTTTATGGAATAAATAAGGAAATATTACTGGATATACTTGAACAAGTGTCAAAGCTAGATTTTAACGTTTTTACGACTTTCTACAAGTTTTTAAAATGTTGGCCAAGATAACCGTCTAAGTGTCTTCTGCTACAAATAGCCTGCTATGAAAAATGACAAGGATTGTCTTCATTGCCAACATAACTTATACAAAGCTTAATTTGTTTTGCCATTCACTTTAGGGACAGGTTGGTTGAAATTTAAATATATCTTTGAACATAATGGAAGTGAATCTTCTTATACTGAGAGATAGACGTTTTGCGATCCACGGTGCAGTTTGGAGTAGCAGTCATTTTATGGTATATGTTGGCAAGATAACATGGCGTATTTTGTCAGCTGTTTGTATTGCTGTGTTGGCGAGTGATGTTTTTATTTGGTTTGTCGAAAAAGATAAATTGGTGAACTTGTCGCGTAGCTTTTAAAGCTGTCGTCGTCTTTTAAACTATTGTCCGAAATAGATGAGCGCTCTTTGTGAATACCATGTCGTGGCTTGAGAAGGGCATATCGTCACTGAAGGGACAGATAACCAACTTAGCCAAGGAAGTTTTGGCTGAAGAGGACACAGATTTCTCTGGTAAGTACTTGTCAAATTGTCAATGAACCTGTCAGGTCGACAGCTTCAAGTATCTCACTAACCTTAACTTGAGTTAATTTGGCCAAAGTGTGGACAGTTTTGTTCGCAAATGCAACAGATTTTCGTAATCATTGTTAAATTTTGTGTTTAGTATCGCATAATGAATCAATCAATGAATGAAGCCATAAAAGTGCTACACAATTCACATGCAAGCAAAGTTTATTTTTGCTAACTTTACTACATCAAATCTTAACATAATACAAAGTAATTAATAAATTAATATTCTTTGGAGCCTTTACTACATATCGATAAAACAAAGACGAATGTCATTCTATCAAACAATTTGTACACTATATACACTTCGTTATTGAAGAGGTAACCTTACTTTTTTTTTTGTTTTTTGATATTCTCCTCATTGTACTATTCTGCCATTTATCTTATACGTTTCACAAATCATGTACGTGCGTACCATGTACAACACAATCTGACTTTAACTCACATTGTATCATGGCGTTTATTTGCAAGAGCGACAGTCAAACATCCTCTCATAGAGTGACATTTTATGTGGAATACATATCCCTCCCAATCTTTAATGTTTTGATGACTGCTTCTCTCGCGCTTCAGTCTCTGTTGTCCAATAAAAGGCGCCAACACAGGCTGTGTGGGTAATAGGTGCGTCTCTTGGCAGGGCCCTTGGGCCAAAGGCAGCACCAGCTGCTACTCATGGGCGTGTGAGGTTGGGGCATGATCGGTGTGGGCCAGGCCTTCTAACTGGGAGCAAGAGGGGACCACTCCACCCCTCTACATTGTCTCACACACACTGACAAGACACGCATGGACTCACAGGAGCCCAGAAAAAGGCATGACAGTTGCAACACTGCAAAAAGTCGGAAAAACCAAAAGCATTCCCTCGCCAAGAGCCCCCTCGAAGTGGTTTCCACACGGTCAACGTGTCTCCAACACCCCTCTGAAAACCAAGGGGGCGCTTTCACCGCCATCTCTTCGTCATCGTCGTCAGGCTGTTTGGGACTTCCCCGTCAGTGTGGCCTATCGTCCTGCCGCCCTCAGCGCCCGCCCGCCCAGCCGTGGCCCGTGTGCGGCGTGTGCGGCGTGTGGGTGGCGGCCGAGACGGGCAGGGGGCCCGGCGGCTCGGCGTGCGGCCCGCCCTGCAGCGCGGGCAGGCCCCCCAGCCCCGGCCCGGGGACGGCCGCCACGACGGGGTCCACGGTGGCGGCGGCCGCGTCGGCGCCAGGGGGCCCCGGCTCCCACACCGACTCCCAGACGGGCCGCCACACCGTGCGCCACTCGGGCACCTGCTCGTCGACGACGGTGTTTGGGATGACCTGCTTCCACTGGTCCCGCCACTCGCAGCGCTTCTCCTGCACCCAGATGGGCCGCTGCTCCGTGCGCCAGCCCTGCACCATCTCGTCGCGCCACTCCATCTTCTTGTCCGGCACCCACACCAGCTGCTTGCTCTCCACCTTGTTGATCTTGAGCGACTCCTCGCGCCACACGGGCCGCTTCTCCTTGACCCAGATGCGCTTCTTCTCGGTCCGCCACTCCTTCTGCCAGATCTGCTTCCAAATCATCTTCTTCTTCCAGTTGCCGCCGTGCGGGCTGGCGGCGTCCGGCACCCACTCCTCGCTCCACTCGGGCACCCACACCTGCGGCAAAAAGAGAAAAAGGCGCGGTCAGCCGGGGTCGAACCCGCGACAGTATTGCTGCCGCGCCAAAATGCAGCTCCTCACGTACCTTCTTGTCCTCCTGGACCATCTCGTCCTTCCAGGCGGGCATCTCGATCTCCTTCCACTCGGGGATCTTGATGGTCTTCCACTCGGGCACCAGCGTCTGCTTCCAGGCCTGCACGTGCACGTCCTTCCAGACGGGCTTCTTGACGCTCTTCCACTCGGGCACCTGCACGTCCTTCCACACCTGCACTTGCGTCGGCTCGCAGTGCTCCACCTGCAAGGGAGAGGGTTTGAATGGTGCGCTCCGAAAGTGCCCCCCAATGTCGCAGTGCGAGGCCATGGCTAGGCAAGCTGGCGTACAGTACCTGGACCTGCTTCCACTCGGGCTTGCCGCGCACCACCTTGGGGACGGTCTTCCACTCCTGCTTCTGCTCGGCCTTCCACGTCAGCTTCTTCTTCCACTGGCCGGGGCCCTGCGGCTGGTACAGCGGGCCCTGCGGCCCGGCGAGGCTGCCGTCGTGGGCCGAGCCGCCGGCGTCCAGCGGCCCGGCGTGGTCGACGTGCTCCGACCCCATGGACACCTGGTCGAGCGGGGCGTAGTGGTGGCCGCGGTGCAGGGAGGCGGGCGGCGCCAGGTTGTCCTGGGGCTGCGGCCCGAAGCCCGCGGTCTGCGGCACCCCGTACGGCAGGCCGTAGTCGCCGCGGCGGTGCAGGGCGTGCGCCCCCGCCAGGGCCCCCGCCAGGGCTGGCCCGGGCCGCGCGGACGGCGAGGACGGCCGGTGCAGCGCGCGGCTGACCAGCAGTCTGCAGGCAGAGCAAGGCGGGGAGAAAAATGAGCGTCCCGTCCAGGACCCGTCCAGGACCTGTCCAGGACGCCGTCGACGGCTTTGTCCCTTTGTGGCGCCGCGCGTCGGGCTGGACGGGCGATGTGCGGCTTTCCGGCCGATTGGCGTGAAGGGCCGACGGCTTGGCCGAAGGGCTTCAAGCGTCGCGGCGCCGAGCCGATCCGTCCTCGGCCTGCCTCGGCCGCGCCAAGGGAAAGGAGAGAAAAATGGCGGCGACCTTACAGGCTGCGCCGTCGGCGCCGCCCGCGTTGTCTGTCGGGCCTCGACGGCGTGCCTCGACGGCGTGCCGCGGCGTTCATCCCGGCGGCATTCCCCCGCGCGCCGCCACGACGCGCTTTTAATTTTCACCTCGCACATGTCGCCGTGCTCGGGGCCGCGGCGGTCGCTCTGTCTCTCTCTCTCACTCGCTCTTGAGGCGCCTCGCAGTGGTGCGAGAGAGACAGCGCGATGTCCTCTGGGCTTACCTCGTCGGCGCGGGGGCTGCGACTGGCGGGGGCAGGGCTCCGGGGGCGGCGGCGACCAGGGACACCCCCTGCAGGAACAAGAGGAGAGGGTTGTCGATTAGGAAACAGACGCACCACTCGTTTTCAAAGACGTCGCGTTTGTCTTGGAGAGGGCAGTGTGCAGCAGTGAGTGGCATTCGACACAAAAATGCAGTTGCGGTGGCTGCGGTCGAGAGGAGAAACGACAGAAGCCTTGATGGCCGTACAGTGTATGCAGTGAAGGAAGGGAAGGGTGGTGTTGGCCTCTAGCATCCTCAGAGCTGCTGAAAACAAACAATCACCTGTTTCTTTTGTTTTGGTTGCCGTGAAACCTGCCTCATGCCCCCTCGCCATGGGGGCCCTTCCCGCCCTCGCCCTCGTCAGATTGTTTAATAGTTTCAAGATTGCCAAAGCCACACTTGGCCCATCCCGTCCCTCCGTGCAATCTTCGCGTCCGCCATCCTTGCATATCCGGCCGACACACGTGTGGTCGTCCCCCTGCCCTGCCGCCCTGTGCCGCCCTGCCCCCAGTCCGGCCCCGGTCGTTCAAAGTCAAATGTCGCGGTTTGCACTCGGCCGACGACCGCAGAGTCGCCATCAACTCCCATGAGACTCCCCCCCCCCCCGCCCGATTTCTCTGACAGCTTCCTCTTTCTGGTCAGGGCAGCGCAGCAGCGCGCAGCACCTCGGCGACCCGTGCGTCGTCTGCTGTCCGCTGCGCTGTCCGGCGACAGTGACATACCACCGCCCGCGCGGCGGGGGACGTCTCCGTCAAAGGACGTCGCCGTGTTGTCTCCGCGGAGTGGCTCTGTCTCTGTCGCGCTCACGGGGTGCGAGAGAGACAGAGCGACGAGACGACGCTCGCCAGGACGGCTCACTCCCCCACTCCCTGCGGGTCTCCGGGTATCGCTCGGGGCGCGGCGGGCTGTCGGTGCTGTCGGTTCGTGCGGCGGCCATAAAGGCATGAGCGCGGTGGCGAGCGAGGCGGCCACTCATTCCGAGAGTTGTTTTCGTCGCTCTGTCTCCGTTTAGGGGACGCTCCGTGCGTGCGAGAGAGACGAATGCTACTCTCGGAATCAGTGTGCCCGCCAGCCCCGGGGCGACGCGCTCGCACCGGCTGCACCGGCTCGCGTCGCCGCTCACGGCCAGGGTGGCGGCCTGGCGGCTGGCGGCGGGCGTCGCTCGCGGGAATCGAAGCGAATGAATATTGCTCATGAATGGAACTGCGGGTCGGGCCCGCGGGCCTGGGAAAAGGGCGGGCGGGTGGGCGCCCCGGCGTTCCCAAGCGGCGCCGCCGAATCGGAGCGAGCAGGCCTTGGAGCAGGCCCTCAAGGCCCCGAAGAAAGCGAGCATCGCGAGGCGCCGCAGGCCGATCGAACGCCTCTTTGTTTTGGCGTGGCGTGGCGTGCTTCCGGACGGAGTATGGTTATTAAGCGGACCCGCCACTTGGCGCTCGCCGAAGATTAGCGATTAGGCACGCCACGCCACGGCAGTAAATGAAGACTTAATTGGATCGCGGCAGTGCGCGCTTTTCCGCGCCGAGCGGGGAAAGCGCTTCGCCCTTCTTGCTGCGACGGTGTCGTCTGCCGGATGGACCCGGAGGACCCGGAGGACCGGCACGGACGCCCCCGGAATGCCAAGTAAAGTTGGTCCGCCTCGTCCTGCTTGACCCTTCCCTCGCAGTGCCCTAGCTCCCAGCAGCACGTGACTTCACGTTCGGACGACGAGCGGCGCGGACATAGCCCTTATTTCGCCTTCCCTTTCACTTTGACCAAAAGCAGAGAAAAGTGTGAGTGTGTGTGCGGATAGACACACTGCTCGCCGAGTCGCCGCAACTGGCGGATGCTGGCGGGCCGGACTGCGGAGGGAGAGAGAGGGACAGACGGGCGCGGAGAAGGCGGAAGATTGAGTGAGTAAGCCGGTGACAACGGCAGGCCGCTGCTTCGCTCAGTCCGAACAAAAAGGCGAGCACGTCGTTCGTCTCTCTGAGCTGCTGAGACGCCTGCAAGACGGCAGTGGGCACGCCCGCCGAACTGGCGTGCCTCGCGGTGCTGCCTACCCTGCCGATTGCGGGCGCTTCGCCTCGCCGACGCCGACCCGACCTCCGCCGCGCCGGCCGGCTCGTCGCCCCGCGCCGCAGCGAGGGACGTGACCATAGTTAGCATTAGCATTCCCTTTTCCAGAAATCGGGGGAAAGGCTTTTGGGGTGCGGCACGAATGGGCCGCCAGTGTGCCACGCAGCCACGCACCGCGCGCAACAAATACTACGTGGAGCTGGAGGCAGTCGGCCCGCACGTCGCGCACGTCCCTTTCACCGCCAGGCTGGCCAGGCTCCTCTGCATGTCGCCGACGACGGCCAGGGCCGAGACCGCGGCACGGCGCGGCACGGCCGGGTTAACAAGAGTGCGGCGCGGCACGTCCCGCGGGATTCGACACCTCTGGCTCGGCCTGCTCCGCCTGCTCGGCCTGCCTAACGGCCTGCATGACGGCCTGCATCATGGCGCGCAGCCCCGCAGAGCCCCGCCGAGTCGGGGCGACACGAGTGAGCACTTTCGCCGTGCGTGGCTGCGGTGCGGGGTGCACTGTGTCTGCCCCGTCTGGTGGTGTCGCCTCTGTTTTTAGCGGCAGTAACCGACGCGGCAGGGCGGCCCATAGGACGGCCAGCCGGCCGGTGACCACACTTACGTCCTGCAAACCACGCTCACCGACAGACACACACACACACACACACGGCAGCGACAACAACTCTCACTTTAGTATCCCGTCCATTTATATTTTTCCCGCGCATTTTATTATTTTGGCTGCTAGTAAATCTGTGTGTGGCGTGTTCCGTTCCGGGCCGATCGTCCGTCTCCGCGGGGGAAAACTCTGTCCAGCCGAGAGCGGCCGAGAGTACCGTACGGCCGGAGGATGCGATCGAGCAAACGGCGAGGGGCACCGCGAGGGGCAGGGCCGGGCAGGGCCGGGCAGGGCACCATGTGCGCGGGCAAATTGAATAGCGCGCCGCGGCCACGTATCTCTTTTGATTTCGGCTGAATTGCGTTGCCGTCTCTCCGTCTCTCTCTCCCCCGCCCGCCCCGCCCCGCTCGGCCCATGCATTGCATTACGGCGGGCCGCGCGGGTTTCACCTCGCGCCTGGAGCTCGCCGCCGAGGCCGCCGAGGCCCTGCGCCAGGACAGCGGTTTGGGCGCGCCGCGCGCGAAAGGGTGGCGGTGATGGAGGTATCGCCTCATCGCGATGGCCGCCGACCGCCGCCGACGCGGCGCGTGCCAAGTCCGTGTCGGCCTGTCGGTGCCTCGGCCTGCCCGCCACGACGGCGGCCTCGCACGACGCACCTCGCCGTCGTGCCGCTGCATGCCATCATGCTGTCGCGGATTCGGCCCGCTATTAGCGGACGCTCACGCTGGACCGCGGCCTCGGTGGCCATGCCGTGGCCACGCCGGCTTAGGCAGGGCCTGCCCAGGGCCCTGTCGGCCTGCAGGGCCGCCGCTCTGCCGCTCGTATTCCATTTTCCCCTCCCTTTCCATTTCGCGGCTTTCGTGATTCAATCAGACATGCAGATGTTACGGTCGGGACAATGACGACGCGGAACTCTCTGTTTCCGTCTCTCTCTCTCTCTCTTTCTCTCTCTTTTCCGCTTTGATCTCGTTTATCGAATGTCGCCTCGCACGCCCCGGGCCGTGCGTCGCGGCGGCGCGACAACGAGGAGGCTGTCTGTCTCTCTCGCACTCGCGCTGCGTCCCGTAACGAGGAGGCTGTCTGTCTCTCTCGCACTCGCGCTGCGTCCCGTAACGAGGAGGCTGTCTGTCTCTCTCGCACTCACGCTGCGTCCCGTAACGAGGAGGCTGTCTGTCTCTCTCGCACTCGCGCTGCGTCCCGTAACGAGGAGGCTGTCTGTCTCTCTCGCACTCGCGCTGCGTCCCGTAACGAGGAGGCTGTCTGTCTCTCTCGCACTCGCGCTGCGTCCCGTAACGAGGAGGCTGTCTGTCTCTCTCGCACTCACGCTGCGTCCCGTAACGAGGAGGCTGTCTGTCTCTCTCGCACTCACGCTGCGTCCCGTAACGAGGAGGCTGTCTGTCTCTCTCGCACTCGCGCTGCGTCCCGTAACGAGGAGGCTGTCTGTCTCTCTCGCACTCCGCTGCGTCCCGTAACGAGGGGGCTGTCTGTCTCTCTCGCACTCCGCTGCGTCCCGTAACGAGGAGGCTGTCTGTCTCTCTCGCACTCCGCTGCGTCCCGTAACGAGGAGGCTGTCTGTCTCTCTCGCACTCCGCTGCGTCCCGTAACGAGGAGGCTGTCTGTCTTTCTCGCACTCCGCTGCGTCCCGTAACGAGGAGGCTGTCTGTCTCTCTCGCACTCGCGCTGCGTCCCGTAACGAGGAGGCTGTCTGTCTCTCTCGCACTCACGCTGCGTCCCGTAACGAGGAGGCTGTCTGTCTCTCTCGCACTCGCGCTGCGTCCCGTAACGAGGAGGCTGTCTGTCTCTCTCGCACTCGCGCTGCGTCCCGTAACGAGGAGGCTGTCTGTCTCTCTCGCACTCGCGCTGCGTCCCGTAACGAGGAGGCTGTCTGTCTCTCTCGCACTCCGCTGCGTCCCGTAACGAGGAGGCTGTCTGTCTCTCTCGCACTCACGCTGCGTCCCGTAACGAGGAGGCTGTCTGTCTCTCTCGCACTCGCGCTGCGTCCCGTAACGAGGAGGCTGTCTGTCTCTCTCGCACTCGCGCTGCGTCCCGTAACGAGGAGGCTGTCTGTCTCTCTCGCACTCGCGCTGCGTCCCGTAACGAGGAGGCTGTCTGTCTCTCTCGCACTCGCGCTGCGTCCCGTAACGAGGAGGCTGTCTGTCTCTCTCGCACTCACGCTGCGTCCCGTAACGAGGAGGCTGTCTGTCTCTCTCGCACTCGCGCTGCGTCCCGTAACGAGGAGGCTGTCTGTCTCTCTCGCACTCGCGCTGCGTCCCGTAACGAGGAGGCTGTCTGTCTCTCTCGCACTCGCGCTGCGTCCCGTAACGAGGAGGCTGTCTGTCTCTCTCGCACTCGCGCTGCGTCCCGTAACGAGGAGGCTGTCTGTCTCTCTCGCACTCGCGCTGCGTCCCGTAACGAGGAGGCTGTCTGTCTCTCTCGCACTCGCGCTGCGTCCCGTAACGAGGAGGCTGTCTGTCTCTCTCGCACTCCGCTGCGTCCCGTAACGAGGAGGCTGTCTGTCTCTCTCGCACTCACGCTGCGTCCCGTAACGAGGAGGCTGTCTGTCTCTCTCGCACTCGCGCTGCGTCCCGTAACGAGGAGGCTGTCTGTCTCTCTCGCACTCGCGCTGCGTCCCGTAACGAGGAGGCTGTCTGTCTCTCTCGCACTCGCGCTGCGTCCCGTAACGAGGAGGCTGTCTGTCTCTCTCGCACTCACGCTGCGTCCCGTAACGAGGAGGCTGTCTGTCTCTCTCGCACTCGCGCTGCGTCCCGTAACGAGGAGGCTGTCTGTCTCTCTCGCACTCACGCTGCGTCCCGTAACGAGGAGGCTGTCTGTCTCTCTCGCACTCGCGCTGCGTCCCGTAACGAGGAGGCTGTCTGTCTCTCTCGCACTCGCGCTGCGTCCCGTAACGAGGAGGCTGTCTGTCTCTCTCGCACTCGCGCTGCGTCCCGTAACGAGGAGGCTGTCTGTCTCTCTCGCACTCGCGCTGCGTCCCGTAACGAGGAGGCTGTCTGTCTCTCTCGCACTCGCGCTGCGTCCCGTAACGAGGAGGCTGTCTGTCTCTCTCGCACTCGCGCTGCGTCCCGTAACGAGGAGGCTGTCTGTCTCTCTCGCACTCACGCTGCGTCCCGTAACGAGGAGGCTGTCTGTCTCTCTCGCACTCGCGCTGCGTCCCGTAACGAGGAGGCTGTCTGTCTCTCTCGCACTCACGCTGCGTCCCGTAACGAGGAGGCTGTCTGTCTCTCTCGCACTCGCGCTGCGTCCCGTAACGAGGAGGCTGTCTGTCTCTCTCGCACTCACGCTGCGTCCCGTAACGAGGAGGCTGTCTGTCTCTCTCGCACTCACGCTGCGTCCCGTAACGAGGAGGCTGTCTGTCTCTCTCGCACTCGCGCTGCGTCCCGTAACGAGGAGGCTGTCTGTCTCTCTCGCACTCACGCTGCGTCCCGTAACGAGGAGGCTGTCTGTCTCTCTCGCACTCGCGCTGCGTCCCGTAACGAGGAGGCTGTCTGTCTCTCTCGCACTCGCGCTGCGTCCCGTAACGAGGAGGCTGTCTGTCTCTCTCGCACTCACGCTGCGTCCCGTAACGAGGAGGCTGTCTGTCTCTCTCGCACTCGCGCTGCGTCCCGTAACGAGGAGGCTGTCTGTCTCTCTCGCACTCGCGCTGCGTCCCGTAACGAGGAGGCTGTCTGTCTCTCTCGCACTCGCGCTGCGTCCCGTAACGAGGAGGCTGTCTGTCTCTCTCGCACTCACGCTGCGTCCCGTAACGAGGAGGCTGTCTGTCTCTCTCGCACTCGCGCTGCGTCCCGTAACGAGGAGGCTGTCTGTCTCTCTCGCACTCACGCTGCGTCCCGTAACGAGGAGGCTGTCTGTCTCTCTCGCACTCACGCTGCGTCCCGTAACGAGGAGGCTGTCTGTCTCTCTCGCACTCACGCTGCGTCCCGTAACGAGGAGGCTGTCTGTCTCTCTCGCACTCACGCTGCGTCCCGTAACGAGGAGGCTGTCTGTCTCTCTCGCACTCACGCTGCGTCCCGTAACGAGGAGGCTGTCTGTCTCTCTCGCACTCACGCTGCGTCCCGTAACGAGGAGGCTGTCTGTCTCTCTCGCACTCGCGCTGCGTCCCGTAACGAGGAGGCTGTCTGTCTCTCTCGCACTCGCGCTGCGTGTCGCGCGGGTGCGAGAGAGACAGGGGAGGGAATCACTCCGCCGCGCGGCGCCTTGAATAACCTCATCAGGATAGTGAGGCGGTCGTGAATAGTAATTTGAGGCAGCGTCGATACGGCGCCGTCGCGGGCCCGCCTTGGCAGAGGTTCAAATCCCGGCAGCGGCTGCGTTTTCTTTCTCCATCTCCAGCCGCCCCGGCCGCTCCAGCCCCGCGCGTCCGTGCCTCTTCTTTTTTTTGTGCGCTAGGCGCGCGCTGCGCACTGTCACTCTCTGTTTGGAGACGTAACATCAGCGCCCACAGAGACGGGTAGGCGGGCTGCATGACGGACGGAGGGACGGACAGACAGACAGACAGGCAAGTCGTCGGACGCTCGGACGCTGCCCGAGGCGCACATTAATTGCTCAGTGCAGGCCCTCCTGTGTGACCCCTCGGCCGAACACAGTAAGGCGTTAGGCCGCAGTTTGGAGAGGCCGCGCGCACATTTGTCCATCCTCGTCCTGCCTCCCCCTCCCCCTCCCCCTCTGGTCCTTCCCCCCCGCGGCTCCCATCATCAGCGGTGTGGTATCGTCAGCCGCATCTGCGTAGCTCCGTCGCGGCGCGGCGTCACAAGCCCATTTTTTTTCCGACATAGTTTTCACACGGCCGGGGAAAAGCAGTGCAGTTCCTGGCTCCCCCTCCCCTGACCCCGCCGACCCCGCCCTAACCGCCGCAAACAACACGGAGAAAAATTTGGCGCGGCAGTCAACGGGACAAGGTCGCCGTCGTCGCCGCGCCACCGGGGCGCAAGCCTCTTTGTTTTTGTTGTTGGACGCCTTCATATTTCGCAGTGTCGGAGCAGGGCAATTTCCTTCCGTCGGCAGTCATCGTCGCCGCTTCTTTCGCCCGTGAATCATTTTTCCCGGTGCTTTCCTCGCGAGCCAAGCGGCAAAGCGCATCTCCCCGCGATGCCCCCGCCGTGCCTGCCGTGCTATCTCGCGGCCGAAGCCGAGCACGGCCAAGCCCGGCCAAGCCCGGCCAAGCCGCAAGAAAATGAGTGGAAAAAGTGCGACCGTGTGGCCGGCTACAGTGTAGTGGCGCTTCGCCTCTTTGGGCTGCATGGCGCCGTGCCGTGGCGCCACCACCGCTGCTGCTGCTGCTTGGCTTTAATCAGATAGGCTAAACGCTTTCTTCCAATCAAAAGCAGAGGCCTGCTCGACGAGGTGAAATGCCAAAGTGCGTGTTCCTCTGCCGGCTAAATGGCGTGAGACAACATTATTACTGACGATCGCGAGTGAGATTATCCGTTGTAGATTCGAGCTGGCCTGGGGGAGGGAGGCAGGGAGGGAGGCTTTGTATGATGATTTGGACGCCGAACGGCCGAACGGACACTCCGCTCCCTCGGCGCCACCGCGGGGCTGTGCTTGCCTCGGCTTGCCTCTTCCTCCGCCAGGGGGCAGCACGCTGGGCAGCACACTGCATCGGATGGCTTCATCTTGTGCAGGGCTTCATCATTTTGCCGCAATTCATCCGCGCGGTGGAAAAGCGCCCCGCCCCGCCGCACCCCGCCCCGCCCCGCCACACCCCGCCCCGCCCCCCCCCACCCCGCCCCGCCCCACCCCGCCCCGCCCCACCACACCCCGCCCCGCCCCACCACACCCCGTCCGCGCCCCGCCACCGCAGTGCATTTGATGCAGCAAGCTGTCTTCCGCTTCATTATCTGCCTTGTGGCTCCCTGGGACGGGCGGCAGGGGGGGGGGGAGGGGCACGGATTCACTTTCGCGACGAAATGATAGCGGAGGACCAGGACCGTCAGGACCGCCGGGCCAGGACCGCCCCGCGAGCCGCCCGGCGGTGGCCCCGGCCCGGTGGCCCGACCCGACCGTGTGATGACGGCCGGGTGGTTTGCTGTTGTTGTTTGGTCGTGATGTCACGCCAGCACTTCCTCAGAGCTGCGGTTATGGACACTTCGCGCAGTCCGTCATATTGTTCGTCGCTGTTTCATTCAATTCACTGGAGCCAGATAGAGCTTGCCCTGGTCGAGTGAGCGCAAACGCGCAAGTCCCCCGCCGACACTGCAGTGTGCGTGCAGGCCTTCCGTCGTCGCTCTGTCTCTCTCTCGCAATCGCGGGGAGTTCCCCGCAGCGCGAGAGAGACAGAGCTCACTGTTTTACGGCGTGCTAACGCCGCAGTGCTTTACCGCCGCGTTGGCGCCGAGACCGCCCAGACCGCCCGAGCGACAGTTTCAATTTTATTTGCGAGGTTTTGCCAAAGAATGGGGAGAGCAGGGTGCCACCCCCTGGAGGCCTTTGTTTGTTTGTCCGCGGGTCCGACTGCGACTGCCCCGCGTTCGCAGTGCAGTGCCGCGGCGGGCCGGCGGGGCGACGCTTGGACGGGCTTTCCCCGCATTGTTTTCCTTGTCCGTCATTGGTTCCGCACGCGCCACGAGTGGCCACTAGCCGCGCTCGGGTCGTCGCGTTTTTAAAAGTTATTTGCCGGACAGTTTGCCGCCCTGCCCGCGGCTTGCTTGCCTGGGTTGGCAGTGTCCGCAGTGCCCCAGCGTCGGTGGCCCCCAAAGGGATTCTCGGAGACGGCTGCTCCTTTTAGTGTTTTACGGAGCCGAGGGCCGCCGAGGGCCGCCGAGGGCCTCGCTGTCGTGACCTTAAATTTAAGTCGGGCCGAGTGGCCGCGCCGGCCGCTTGCACGCTTTTCGCGTTTCGTCCGCGGAGTCTGGCGTTACGCGAACAACGTCGCGGAAAAGTAAGTCGCAGAAAATGCCGTCTGACTTCGCCGACTCGTCTGGCGAGCACACTGTACATACAACTCTGGAAAAAGAGAGCCTGCCTCGCAGGCGTTGTCGAGGACCAACATCACCCGTTCGATGACTGAAGAACTCGGCCGCTTTTCACGCACACCCACACGCTCACACGCGCACACAGTCACATGCTGCATGCGGCACTTACACTGACACACGCGACACTGACTAGTAGAACGAGTATCCTCATGGCGGTGCGTCACAGACTGGTCACGGACTCGTCACAGACTCGTCACGGGGTGGCACGTGCGACGCGCGCGACTAGACGGCACACTCGCGCGAATCTCGGGCAGACTGGCGGCGCGCGCGGACCCACCCCACTGTTTATATCGGGGCGAGACCTCTCTCCCTCTCTTCCTTCCGCCCGTCCTTCCTTCCTCTCGGCGGGCGCGCTTCCCCGCCCGCACCTTTCACTGGGAGGAAGGGAGAGGGAAGTCCCGCCGCGCTCCTCTCTCCCCCCCTCCGACGCCCCGCCTCCGCTGCAGCAGTAGTCATGTCACAGCGGGACGACAAACACAGGGCACCAACACACTCGCACACACACGCGTGTATTCAAAACCTCGGACTGTTGTTGTTGTTGTTGTTTGCATTCCGCGGCGCTAAGTGCAGTGCATGCGTTCGTTTGACCAGGGGAAACGTGACGTCGCCGCGTGCGTAGGCTCTAGTGTGCTTTCCATTCACATCAGTGCCTTTGACCGCCTGAACATTAAATTTGGAACGAAAATTTTAGACGGAATATGTAACGGTTGTTGTTGTTGTTGTTTCCGAACAAATGGTGTCGCTGCAGGTGGCCCCGCGAAGAGCAGCGCTGTCATTGGCGGCGCCGGGCCGCCGAGGCTTCCAGTGTCGGGGATTCCAGTTTCCGCAGGAAATTAAAGGCGGAGGGATGCGAGGGGAAGGGTTGGCTGGCATAAGGAGGAAAACTGGAGCGAAAAATGCGAAAGGGAAATGGAGTAACACGAAACAGCTATAAGTGTATAGAGGGGGGCTTAAAAAATCGAAATGAGATTAGAAGGAAAAAGAGTAAAGCAATACGGAAGCACTTGAAACCTTTAGGAGGACGAGAAGAACCAAAAAGAAAAATGACTTGAGGTACGCGAAATTTAAGGAAAAAAGAAATATGAAGCGAGAGAGAACTAGTGAGAACGAAAGGGAGAAAAAGGAATGTAATGGGAGTAAGTGGGAATGGCAGCAATTTTGCCGTCCTGCCGTCCAAAGCGGAGAGATCATGTTGCGCGAGCCGAATTCGGTACGGTACGCTAGTACGGCCAGGACGCTCGGCACCGGCCTTGCCTCCAAACCGCACAGGGAGAAGCGGCGCCCAGGCGCCCCCAGGCTCGTCCCTTTCTGACGTGTCCCTTTCGTCGGAGACGAGCCCTCGTCACCTCTTTCGCCCAGGGAACTGTGCCACAGGGGCCACAGGGGCCACAGGCCAGAGCCAGGGCTCGCTCTGTTAGTCAACCCATTTATTTGGGAGGGCTGCCTGGGCTGCCGTTAGATGGCGGTGTCTGTCGGGCAGCCTGGCCTGGTCCTCGTCGCCTACTTCCGCTGCCTCGTCCTCCACGCCTTGGTGTGCGCACTGGGAACGGGTAGTGCCGGCTAGGCTGCCTCCAGCGCAGGCGTTTTGGGTTGGAGATCGCCCCAACCCTCCCTCGCCGGGGTGCCGGGCTGTGTGCGGAGTGACCAGGTCCCCGCAAGGGCGGATCCAGGGACGGGTTCAGGGAGGGCGATGTCACCGCGGGCTGGGCTGCCCTTTGGTGAGGAGCGCTTCGGCGCGGCCGCGCGTGCAAGTCTCCAGCTCTCCGCCGCGGTGCGGTGCTTCGCCGCGCCGCCTCCCACGCACCCCGACGTGCCGACGGCCAGCCCCGCGAGTGCGAGAGAGACAGAGCGACGACGGCGCCGGCGGCGCCCGATGCGAGGAGGCGTCAAATGACGGCGGAGTGACGCAAACTGCCGACGCCTCATCATCGGCCAAGCCGGCGATAGCTAGCGCCTCCACTGCAAGCGAGTCCCGATCCGATCAAACTTCCGCCGCGACGACGGAGACGAGGACGGCGCGCCGCGGCGGAGAGGAGGATGACGGAAATGACGCGGAAGGGAGATAATCGACTCGCACTTGCAGCCCTGCCATGCCGGCCCTGCCGGCCCTGCCGCGGTGGGGCCGCTGCACTTCCGGAGGCAAAACAAGGCGCCCGCCCCGCCCCGCCACGCCCCGCCACGCCCCGCCACGCCCCGCCCCCACAAGTCGCCGCAGCAGCCCGTGTAAAGAAGCGACACAAAGCGGAGGGAGACGCACTGCCGCTGCTTCCAAATCGGCCGGCTCGTCATCAGCAGCTGGCCGGGCTGGCCGGCCCGACGCACCCCGCGCTGCAGCCGCCAGCCCGGACAGCTAGCATTCCGCGTAGCGGGGAAAGCGCAGCGTCCTCTATTTTTTGCAGTGTGATTAGTCGGCGATGATGATGCGGATAAGGCGAGGCATCACAACGCGTGGCGGGGCAGCGGCGACGCGACGCAGGGCGTCACGTTTTGTCCGGCAGCAGGCCCACTGCGAACAGCTCGCCGCCCGTCTCTCTCGCACTCGCAGGGCGTCCCGCAGGGGTGCGAGAGAGACGGGGCGGCGTTCGGAACGGGTGGGCGACAGCGCGACAGCGTGCACAGATATCGGGCGGCGAGTGGCAGCCGTCTCCGTCCTCGCGGTCCCCGTCGTGGGAGTGGTGCAGCGAGTTTCACCGCGTCGTCGTCGCCGTGCCCGCGGTGCCTACAGTGTCGCCCCGGCGGCCACTCTATCCGCGATAAAAAATGAAGGCGGAGTGATTTGGCGAGGCGCGGCTCAGGCGTGGCCGGCGTATGCAGATGAGAGCGATTGTTGTCGTTGGATCTGATCGCCGCGTGGCGCCCTCTAAATGCCGTGCGAACCGCGGGCCGCGGACGCCGGGAGGAAGCAAGGGGCTTGTTTGTTTGCTCTGCGGGGACTCCGATCTCCTCGGAGACTCTAGCGCGCTGTGGCGACGAAAGTGGTTCGGTCGCAGGATCGCCGGAATCAGACATCAGTCAGTGGTCCGCGACTTTGGAGTCCTTGCGATTTTGTGGTCACACTGTTCCTCTGTAAGTGGCCACTCCACCTTTCCATTTCTATGCTCACGCCTACGCGCGAAGCTCTGTCCAGGCCTGGCACTGGACGCCTCATCACACGGCATTGCGTTCTCAGAAAGGCACTATTATGGGCCCCAGCGCAACCTCCAAGCCTCGCAGCGCCGAGGGGTTTGCTGTCTTATTGCAAACTTTTCTTTTCCCCCCTTTTCTGCTTGTCTCTGTCTCACCCGCGGTGCAACAGGCACACGGGCCGCCCACACTGTAACTAGGCGTGAGGCAATGCGAGGCAACGCCGGCAATTGGCTGGTGCCATTGACCGTGCGCGCTGCGCTCTGAGCGCGGCAGCCCGCGGCGCGGAAAGATAGTCCTGTTGTTGCTTGGGGACTCCATTCTGACTTCCGCGCCTTGGTGACGAGTAGTCGGGCGGAAGCAGGATCAGCATGCAGTGCAGGATTGGGCTTGCGATTGGGCCGCGCACCGAAGGCCAGCGACATGTCCATTCTATGCCGACTAGGCAAGCGTCCAGGCCGGAGCAAGGCGAAGCAAGGCGAAGCAGGCGAGAAAGGCGAAGCAAGGCAGGCAAGGCGAAGCACCAAGCGGCGAAGCAAGGCGAAGCAGGGGGGCGCTAAGCAAGGCGAACTGCCCCCCTTTCAAGCTGCAGCAAGGCGAAGCAAGGCGAAGCAAGGAAGCAAGGCCAAGCAAGGCGGAAGCAAGGCGAAGCAAGGCGAAGCAAGGCAAGGAAGGCGAAGCAAGGCGAAGCAGGCGAAGCAAGGCGAAGCAAGGCGAAGCAGGCGAAGCAAGTGAATCCGCGAGGGATCAGGCGAAGCAGGCGAAGAAAGAGAAGGCGAAGCAAGGCGAGCAGGCCAAGGCGAAGCAAGGAGGGCGAGAGGCGAGCAAGGCGAAGCAAGGCGAAGCAAGGCGAAGCAAGGCGAAGAAGGCGAAGCAAGGCGAAGCAAGGCGAAGCAAGGCGAAGCAAGGCGAAGCAAGGCGAAGCAAGGCGAAGCAAGGCGAAGCAAGGCGAAGCAAGGCGAAGCAAGGCGAAGCAAGGCGAAGCAAGGCGAAGCAAGGCCTTGGCGCCCAGTGGCCGGTGGTGCTTTCCCTGGGAGCTGGGCGAGCTGGACCCGGAGGGCGTGGCGAAGGGCGGGCTGCTTGCCTGGGCTTGCCTCGCACCCGTCAGCCGCGCCAGCCCCAGCCAAAGCCGCCGCGCCGCCGCTCAGCGGTTCGACGGAACTCTGTCTCTCTCGCCCCCGAACGCCCCATGAGTGCGAGAGAGACAGGGCGACTCGGAATGGCGCTGGCCGCACCGCCGCCCTGCTTTGGTTGACCTCTGGACGCGCGCGCGACCCCGAAGAAGGTTCCCTCCCCGACCGGACCTCACCGCGAGGCACGCGCGCGCGCCTGCCATGGCGCTGTCTCTCTCGCGCCCCTCGGAACGCCCACACACTGCGAGAGTGCGAGAGAGACAGCCTCGGTCGTGGCACCTCGACGGGGTGCGGCTAGCGGTGCGGCGGGTGTTGCCGCCCTGCCGCCGCCGAGCCGATACGCCGCGAACAATGGCCCCGCCTCGCCTCGGCCATGTCCCGGCCATGCCGCGGCCCCGCCGACCGGATGCACCGGATGCGCGGGGCGTCGTCGCGCTGCCGTCGTGTTTTTACTGCATCGTTATTCGCACCGTTGTGTCGGACTATGTCCGACTATGTCCCGGAGCCGTCCGTCGCCCTGGCCCTGACGCCCTCGGGTCGGGACCCGCTGCAGCCGGGCGGCACCCCTAGTGGTTCCTGCTCCGGGCGCACTCCCTGCCGCCGGAGCATGGCCCTTCTGGGAACACACACACACACACACACACACACACACCGCCATGCATAACCCTTCTCCGAACGCGCGCGCGCTCACACACACTCACACAGAGCAGCGGGCATAACATGACGGCATGGCGGGCACCGAGGACCGAGATAAGGAAACACCGTGCCGCCCCGTCCGGTCCGTCCGTGTTGCCGGTGTTGCCTTTGCGGCGCGGGGTATTGGCGACGGCAGGCGGCGGCGCGGCGCTACCCCGCGAGTGTTGTGGCCTATGGACGCGGCGACACTTACACTTATGCTCGATGCGCACTGCGCGATCTGCCGCGAGAAAGTTGCGCCGCTCAATGCCAGTGTGCCAGCGCCGCGGACACGTGCTTGACGGGCGTCTCGTCTTCGGCCAGCGTGTGCCGTGCCGTTGCCGTGCCGTGCCGTGAGCTGCGCGTCAAGGGTAATTAAGGGTCAGCCGAGAGGCGGCAGTAAAAGCGAGGCTGGGAAAAAAAATGTAAACGCGCACTCGCGCTTCCGGGTGGAGTTGAACCCGCGGCGGGCCGCATGCATCGCCCGGCCGGGCCGTTCGGGCGGTCGCTGGTCGCCGGCCGGGGGCAATGGCTTCTGATTCTCTTTCACCGCGATCGCAGTGGTGTGTGCGCGCTGGTGGCTCGGTTTACATCATTTCATTGAATCTGGTTTCTGCGCGGGGCGTGGCGGGGCGGGGCGCACGCTGTGCGGAATAAGTGAGGTTAGTCGGCGGCTCAATCGACGCTGACCGCACGGCGCTGCAGACCGACTCGCTCCGTCTCTCTCGCACTCGCGGGGCGTCCCTGGCAGTCCCTGGTGTGCGAGAGAGACGGGGCGACGGCGCCGCGTGCGTGGCGCCCGGGGCGCTGGAATGGAGCCGCTGCCTCGGCCCAAACCGAACCGCAATTAAGTCGGGAGAAAATCCGAAACAGCGAAACGGCGTAAGCAGAGCGCTCGGTCATAGAGCAGCCTCCTGCACTGCAGCAGCCCGCGGCCGCAGAGATTGCAGCCAGTGTCGGAGACTGTCGGACACTGTGCCGGGATCCGCTCCGGATCGATCGGTTAACACTTTCCTCTTCAGGCCGATTCCGAGCGGCGCCTCGTCGCTCTCTCTCGCACCCCTAGGAAACGCCCCGTGGGTGCGAGAGAGAGAGAGAGAGAGAGAGAGCACGCTGTCCGGATTCAGCTTTGCAGGGCAGAGCGGTCGGTCAGTCGGTGTGGTGATGGCGCCGCATGGATTTTTGGGGTTTGGGTTTCGTAACCGGAAGTTAATGACTGAACCCTTTCTCCGGTGACATGAGTGGCATTGCCGGCGTTACGCCACGCGGCGCAAGAACGTTTTATAGTGTCGTGGTGCGTCGCTGCAGCGCTCGCAGAGGCAGCGGAGCGGGGTTCATGCGTGGTCCATCCTGCACCTGCAGTGCAACCGCAGTGCGGCACAGCGAGTGCTGCAGTTCATCGGACACAGACGCCGTGCGGCCAGACTGTCCCGTCGAACAGCGCTGCTTGACGGGACGGCCTACCCGGCAGGCGCCATGGCCCCTTTACAGTGGAGGCAGCTAGGGAGTTCGGCGAAGTGTTCGTGGCGGGCGTTGCTTCGCGTTGCCACGCCACTGGTGGAAGTGTCTTCCAGGAAGGGGCGCGCCTGCCGGTTCAGAGCTCGGCCCCCGACGCGATTGCTTGCATATCGAAGCGGCGGCGCTGCTGTCACTTTTCGATGCCCGCGGGCCGTCGTCCACCGTTTGCCGGGCGAGGAGTATCGACGTCGTGAGCAGGCGTGAGCTGATTGCAGAAGTCATCACGCCGGTCGGGATGGCCGCGGGGCGAGGGGTAGCGACGCCGCGACGCCACGCCGCCATGTAACGAGTTGATTAGGCGCGAGCAAGGCGGACCAACGCGGAGCCGCGGGCAGGCGGTGCAGGTGTGTGAATGCGCGGCAAATAACATGGCGCCGCAAAAAAACGCGTCGCGGACGGACGGACGGCCCCGTTTCCATGACGACCAATTAAAGAGGAGGAGGAGGAGGAGATGACGTGGCGGACGACGAGGAAGTGCAAGGCGACGCTCGACGACGGCGAGGGTCAGCAGCACCGCGTCAACGCACGAGCGGTGCTGCGGTTGTGTCCGAACTCGAGCTCGCCGCGCGCCGACAGTCCAATGCTTGTCGATGCCGGAAAAGTGAGATCCCGGGGGCTTTTCTTCGCTACTTCGCGGACAGCTGCGAGGAGTGCAGTGCGGGGCAGAGGAGAGCAGGGCAGTGCAGTGCAGGGGGCTGTATAAGGCCGCGAGCATTGGCGCTGGCACGCGCGTGTGTGTACGGCGAGGGTGTAGCTTGCCCATGGATGGCGCCCGCCTCACACACACACGCACACACACGTGCGACACGGCGGCGAGTGGCCGCACACTGGAGTCCAGCCACAGCCCCCCCGTCGCGGGCATCGCGGAAATGGAGTGGCGCTGTAGGTGAGGTGGCGGCCCGGTGCGATCAAACGGCACGCACACACACGCACTACACACACAGAGAGGCGCGCAGCCCCGCGCGGGGGCAGTGATAGCAGAGCACGCTGGTGGCGCAAGGACCCTGCCAAGGACCGAGCACTTTCTCCTTGCTCTGGTGGCGCGGCGCGGCGTTGCAGGCTGCCGGCGGGACACCTCTCATGTTGGGCACCGCGCTGCCGGCCGCCCGTTCCGTTGCGACTGCCCAGCCTGCCCACGCGGGCGTGTGTGCCGTGCCTCGCCGTGCCGTGGCGTCGTCGTCGTCGTCGTCGTGTAGGGCAGCGGGATGGCGGCGTGCGCAGGTGCGAGGCCCGCATCGGATGGCGGCACGGCGGTGACAGCCGACCAATGAGGAAGCTCCGTTTCGGCGGAAAATCGGCGCGGGGATGGTTCTGGTTCGGAGGGTCTCGGCAGGCCGCCGACATGTTATGCGATCTGACGTGCGTGGAGGTCTCCTCGTCGGGGAGACGGGGAAGCGCCGTTGTTACGTCGTCTGCTTGACCAAACCGCGGCTCGTTGCGGTCGCTGGGGTCGCGGGGGTTTACTTGCGTTGGGCATCGCGTTTCGCCTTGTGCCGGGGCTCCTCCCTACTAGGACCACGTGGAGGCCCCGCCGCGCCCCGCCGCGCCCCGCCGGGGACACATTTGGAGTCCTGACCGCCGATTACGGCGAGAGCCGGCATGCCGTCGTCGGCTACCGAGGACTCCGCCGAGCGTACCGAGGGCCTCGTAAGGAAGCGGCCGACCGGGCCGGCCGGGCCGACGCAGTGACGCAGTAATGGCGCGGAATGTCCCGGGGCTCGTCGTCTGGGTCGTCTTTCTCTTGCCCTAACCTTTTCCCCTGTTGTTGTTCCAGCGGGTGCCGCGGCCCCCGAACCCGGCGAGCAGGCCGCCGTCTCCGCCGCCGCCGCCGCCACCCCTGCGGACCACGAGGTGAGTGAACTTGTCACGACGCGCGTCGTTTGGCGTCCTCCGAAGCTGCGGAGTGGAGTGACTGATTTTGCGCTGCGTTTCGCACCTTCGCGGCGCGCGACGTGAGTGCGAGAGAGATGGAGTGAGGGTGGCGTCGCGGTCCGCGTCGCGGCTCGGCCTACCCGTCAACCCGTCGCCCGCACGTCACTACCGCAGGCGACCGGCAAACTCACTCCGGAGCCGTTTCCCCGCGAAGACCGCGAGGGTGCGAGAGACAGAGCGACGGGCATGGTAACCAGGGTAACCGGGAGGGTCTCCTCATCGGCGCCAGATTTATCGCTCTATCGCCGCCGCTGCTCACTCCCATTTGCGTGCACCTTTCTTCCGCGTGCCCGCCCGGGCCGTGTCTCTCTCTCGCTCTGGTGCGCGACACCCTGCTGCCCTACGAGTGCGAGAGAGACGGCGCGACGTCCCCGCGTCATCGCGCCCGGCGAGGCGCCCGGTCCATGTCCGGTGTCCGGTCGGAGCGCCTCGCCGCCACCCGCCTCATTTGAAAATCCCCCGCCGCAATGCAGAATGCAGGCGCGGCGCGGCGGGCCGTCGACCGCGCCGCCCCTCGCCGCGGGCTGAATCCGAGGGCCGTTTTCGTCGCCCTGTCTCTCTCGCACTCGCGCGGCGTCCCGCATGGGTGCGAGAGAGACAGAGCGACCCCCCGGAATGGGGCGGCTGCCCGTGCTGGCCGCCAACGCTGCTCGAGGGTTCGCCTCGCCGCGCCTCTCTCGCTCGGGCGGGGCCCGGCGCCGCGCCGCCACACCGCCACAGGTGCAGGTGGAGGCTGCCGTCGCGGTGGTGCGGTGGTACGCCTCGGCGGGGCGGGGCGCGGCGGCAAGTCCGAGTCGCCGTCCGCGTCGTGCTTCCTGCTTCCGAAGCCCCGAGCCAGAGCCAGAGCCACTGCCAGGGACTGCCAGGGACCCACACTGTGCAACCAGTCGCCGCTACACTTACCTACGCAAATTGCCGTCGATGTTGATCTCCAGGGCACGGCGGCGGCGCGTGGCGGGGCGGGGCGTGGCGGGGCGGGGCGTGGCGGGGCGGGGCGTGGCGGGGCGGGGCGGGCGTCAGGGCGTGCCGCCGGGGCGTGGCGGCCGCGCCCCACGGCGGGGGGAGTTACCCCGGAGAGGTAATGCCGTTTTGTGTCTTACCCGGTTTGGGTAATTAACGCCGAGGAGAAAGCGGACGGATGATGCGTCCCCCGCACTTGATGACGCCGAGACATGTGTGCGCGCGGTCCTGTGTGTGTGGCACACTGTGTGCGTGCGGTCGGGTCGGCGTGTAGCCGCAACCTGTCGTGGAAGTGCTTGTAGATTGCAATCGCACTTTTCTCGGTGTTTACTTAGTCGAGCCGCTCGCCAGCAGGAGGCCGGGAGGCCCGTGTATGCTTTACGCGGCCCTCGACGAATGCCCCGGCGGCCTCCGCCTCTTGGCTCTGTCTTGACTTGCGCGCGTTAACTGCAGGCAGGGGTCACTCGCGGACGAGCGCTCGGACGCACAATTCCCAGGTCCTCAATAATTTCCACGCAGGTACGCGTGGGAGAGGGAAAGAGGGGTGCAAGCCGCTTTGTCTGTTTGTGGGTTGCATGCTGTGCGGGTCAACGATGGCTATCCGACGTCGGTTTGTCGACTCGACGCGCACACTGCTAATGCAAGCACCGCTTCCTGGGTCGTTTTCTCGTTTTTCTCGTCGTTCCGTGTCTCGTCGAAGAAACTGCTCTCCATCCAACTACTACTAGTGGAGTGGAGCCTAGCTAGGCTCCCGCCCGCACGTTTCATAATTAACTGGCCTGGCGGCTGCCATGGCCACGCCAGTCCCCATCAGCCTCCTCGACTTGGGGATTTTGTTTATCGGCGAAAGCCCTGCTGGCTTGCTGGCTTGCTGGCTTGCCGCAGTGGCGTGGCCGCCGCGTGGTGGACGAGGGCGCAGAGCGGACCCGGACCGGTTCGCGGGCCCGGCCTCCCGGCCACCGTACGTAGGCGGCGCCGGGGTTTGATTTTGCGCGGCACTGGACTAACGCACTGCAGTGCTTTCGTCGTTCTGCCTCTCTCGCGCCCCTCGGGAACGCGCCATGAGTGCGAGAGAGACAGAGCCCCTGGGGGACCGCGCGCACCCTAATGCACTCGTTGGCCAGCGCGGCGTGCTCGGACCAGATTTTCTGGTGAAGTTGGTGGCTGGAGCAGGTGCGTCTGTCTGTCTGTCCGTTCCGTTTAGCTGCGGTGCCGCTGCCAATAACGTGACGGCACACCGTAAACGACTCGCGACCTGCAGCTGCCAATAGTGCGATGATGGCGCGTGTTCGTTTTCCGTTTCACAGTGCTCCGCCCCGCCTCGCCCCGCCCCATGAGTGCGAGAGAGACAGGGTGACGAGGGGGCAAAAACTCGGGATTTTCGTGTACACATGATTCGGAAAACGCAATGATTGCGCATGGTTTTAATTGATTTCATGGCTGATTTTGCCTTATTTCGCGACGCACCAGCGTGATGTTGAGCGTGATTGCGTGTGATTGTGTTCGGAAAGAAATTATTTCGGACTGATTTGGCCTGGTTTCGTGTGATTCTGCCTAATTTCGGTCGATTTTAGTGATTTTGGCTGATTTCGGATTGCTTGATTTCGCGTGATTCTCAATGATTCGCGTGTGATTTCGGGGGCCGTGTACACATGATTGCGCGAGTTTTTGCCCCCTCGCAGGGTGACGAAAGCGCCGTTCGGAGTCCACCTGTGCGACGTGCGGCCCTGGGGGTGGTCCGCGTTATCGGCTCGCTGTGTGCCCAGGGATTATCGCGCACCCCTCGCGGCCGACGGCCAGCTTGACGGCCAGCGTGGCGGTGGGGATGGCGGGGATGGCGGTGCGACACGGGGGTTGGAGTGCTCCGCAAACAGGGCGAGTGGGCCTATATGACAGGCCGGGCCGGAGCGCCATATGCCGCGGCCATGTGCGCCGCTGCTATCTCCGCCGAGGGTCGGGGGATGCCCAGCGCGTGGCCGCGAGCGCGTTCTCGAAAGCAAATAATTTGGCTTTCTAGTGGTTTCGTTTCCCAGGAGACAGCTGGGGCACCGGGCATAGAGTCTCTGAAAGTAGCGACTTTTGCTGACTTCGGGCGGCCACTGCGTCCCGCCGCGGGATCGCTCGTGCGTCCGTGCGCCTGGGAGGTGGCAGCCCATCGTGCTCGCGGAATGCTCGCGGAATGCTCGCGAAGGCGTTGGTTGGGTGGCCTGCCGCCCGGGCGTCGCGCGCCGCGCGCGGGGGCTCTTCAGTCCCACCGAGACGTGTCCGTCTTTCCATTTTCTCACCGTCAACAACGCCATCGACTTGAGCGTCGCGTTTCGCACTGCTTAAATGCGGGATACAGCTGCTTTTTGCAGAGAGCCCCGAACAAAAGTTGTGACGTACGCAAAAGAGGTAGGAAATGTCTTGGGATACATCTCTCTAGCCGAGTGGCCTATTAACGTCCCCCAACGACGCTGCCGGGATGGGGGCGGCCGTTTTGCGCGTCGTGGCACCACGGCTTTGGGTGCCACGGCTGTTCGCTAGCTGGCCGGCCAGAGCCCCCTGGGTCCGTGGCCGCCGTGGCCGCCGTGGCCGCCGTGGCCGCTTGGCGCGCCTTGCCGGACTTGCTGCTGCTTTAATTGCAAATGAGCCGATTTATTTGGTTCAAAGTCGCGGCGCGCTGCGCGGTGGTGCGCCCCACCGGCCGACGGCGAGGTGGCCGCGGCCGATCCCTCGCCGAGGGTCAGAGCCTTGGCTGCCTTGGCTGCCTCGGCCGGGCCCCGCGTTTCCGCCCAATTTCGATAAACAGGCTGCTCCGTCGCTCCGTCTCTCACCCTTCGAGTGTGAGGGAGACGGAGCGCTGTTCGGAACGAGCCTGCGGATGGCTGGGAGGGCCGCCGCGTGTGTTTGCCCCAATAAGTCCCTCATCCAGAGATACGCGGCGCCCGGCCCGCCCCGTCCTGGCCGCCCTGGCGGGCTGAGCCAACAGTGCGCCGCCGAGCAGGGTCCCGGCTCGAGGCTAGCCCGGCCCAGAGTCCTCGGTCCGCGTCCAGCCGCCCAGCACGGCGTCCGAGTGGTCCGAGTCCCCGTCGACGCGGAGGTGAGACCCACGCCGTCGTCGACACGTCGACGCGGCCCTGCCAGCCGCCGTTCCCGCTGTGTCGTCACTCCGTCAGCGAGTCTCCCCGAGGGCGAGGGCAGGCGAGGGACACTACTGGGCCGGAGGACGAATGGTTTACGACGTGGATGTGCCCGGAGCCCCCGGAGCCACCACTTGTAAAGTGGAAATGAGCTAGGCCCGGGTCATACGCAGGAAGGCAATGCAGTCCCACACTCACACCTGCACACACGCACACACACACACACACACGTGCGGCACGGGTCAGGATGCCCGCCATGCAAATGTTCCAAGCTGAGACGAGCCGAGCCAAGGCGACCCCAACGGAGCCCAGCCGAGCCCCGCGGTTCGGGCCCCGCGCCCCGGGCCCCGGGAGGGGCTGGCGGCCTGACGGTGAGGCGGGGAAGGCGTCCGATGCATATCGGTGTGGCGACAGTGTAGGGCCACTTCCAGGCCTAGCCGTCCTCCCGTAGTCCCTCCTCCTGTGAGTCCTTCGGGCCCTCGGGACCTCTAGATCGCCCATCGCACGGCGGGCGGCGGGCCTTGCATAAGCGTGAGAAACGAACCCATCGCATCGGGACAGCGACTTTTTCTTTTTTTCAAATCAGGTATGTGCGTATGTTTTTGTTTCATTGTGTCGGTCGGCCGTTTCAGAAAAAATACTCGACGCCATGCTACTTTTGTCGTTTTCACTTTTATATAAACCATCATGCAAAGGGTCCATACACCGTACTGGTTTACCAGGAATGCGACACCGGGCCAATCGCTTCAACCACCACTTCCCCCTCGCAAAAGCGCGTGTCGCTTGTGCCGCTCCAGGTGTGTGTTGGCCGGAAGCCGACTCGCCTCGCTCGGCGAC